GATCCATGGACACTAGGCACATACGCCTGCCTGACTCTAACAAAAGTCTAAGACAACAACAGTGCCTTTGTTGCCAGACCCATGTGTTGTCTCCAAAAACTCATTAAGCTTAAGGGCCTCATCAAGCTTAAGGGCCTCATCAAGGGCACAGCACCAGCTGTCTCAATGGGGCTCATCCTGAGCGGCTGGGGCCGGGGCTGGGAGGGCTACACATACCATCGACATATACGACCCCTGGCACAAAACGCAGTCTTTTGGCAGAATCTCGACTCAGGCCCTAGAGAGAAAAGGGACAGGACCTCAGCCCCACAGTCAGAAGCCAGAGGCCACCTTCCCGGCACAAACCACTCTCCACCTGAACTAATGTCCTCCAGGAAGGGGTGGTGTTCCCCACCTGGAACAGACAAACCATTCAGACAAAGTGCCGAGAAGGCCCCATGGGGAGGCCACACAGCCTGACATGGTCAAAGTGGCTGCATAGGCATCTTCACCGCCCCAGTAACACCTGCTCCTCACCAGTCTGTCTCCCACGGCCCCCAGACTCCCCCGCCCAGCAATGTCCTGAGAGGTGCCTGCCTGAGCACCTCTGACTGCTGAGTGCAAGAGGACAACAGACTACCATCAAGGTGTTATCAGTTAGAGGAAACAGGGGCTCCAGGTGCCGGACAAAAGGCCAATGGAGTGGGCACTTACACCAGGCCAGGCTTAGGGAGCCATGAAGTGAGAGCAGAACAGCACCTTGCTGGAGCCCCCGGGACAGACCACCTCTCTCATCTGTGCCCCTCACTGGGAATGCAGAGAGTCTGTGTATGTCCCAGCCCCAGGTCAAGGCCTCCACGGCAGCCAGGGCCCTCAGGAAAAGCCCTAGCCATCTCCAACACGCTGGACAACAGTGTGAGTGGGCTGCCGAGAGCCTGGAGCACAGGTCCCCAGAGAGCACCCTCTCCCGTACGCTCTCCCTCCCCACCCAACTTCACATCCCCTGGCATCCCCACTGCTCATTTGGGTCTCCCCTTAAACTTCTCAAGGAAGCTGCCCGACCCCAGCCAGGCTGGACCCCTTTTGGGTTCCCCAAGGCACCTGCTTGTATTTCGAGGTTTTGTCCTGGACCCAGGACCAGGGGGAGGCCCATGAACTCAGGAACACCTCAAGCAACGCTCCACCATGCCACCACATGTTCCCTGTGACTAGGATTCTACGCAGTCGGCAAACAGTCCTACACTTGGGCACAGCTGGGTGCTCCGGACTCAGCTTCCAGTTTGTGCACCTTTGTATACACATCCAACAACCCTCCGGGCATCCCAGCTAGGGGTGGGCTGCTCTCGCTAGCTGCAGGCAAGAGCCCCTCAGTCCTGGGCCCCCAACTCTGCAACTCAGCAGGGAAGCAGCCAGGACCCTGGAAGACGCTAGGAGACGTACCTCAAGGACCTGCCAGACCATGGAGCTGGATGAAGGCCCCCCAGACCATGCCAGGAGCACCTATGGGAGAAGGAACGTCACTGGAGAGCGCTGCGTCTCCCCCATGAGCAAGCCCACCCTCTCCACCACCACCATCACCTGTGCATGACACTGGGAGGGGAGGCCGGGGCTGAGAGCCAGGGCCCAGGGGGGCTGGGCTTCCCAGCTGGGGACCCCGCAGAAGAGTCACCCCAACACACTACCTTCTCACCCGGAAAGATCAACCGATTCTTCCCAAGCACGGCTCTGAACTTGTGGATGTAGAAGGCCCTGAAACAGTCCCTGCAAGAGACAACCAGCAGTGTGGCCACATGGCCCCGATGGGGACGCAGCCTGAGACGCTGTAGGGTTCCATTTTCCTTCTCTTACCAGTGTCCATCTTTAAAAGCAGTATCTTGACAGAGGCTCTGCCCAGAAACTGACAATGGAAGCCAGGGTTGAGGGGTTCTTGCCAGCTGTGCCTGCCCCAGGACCAGCCCCGTGCTGCACAGGGAGGCGCCCCCTTGGTCCCCAACAATCCTTACTAGTGTGAACTGATGTCTGAGGGGCCCAGAGCCCAGGAGCCACCTGTACCTCCAAACACTCAGGAAGGCCCAGCAGGCAGAACGGACGGACACAGGGAAGTGCAGGGCAAGGCCAGCCGGACCCTCCCTCAAGCAGAGTGGAAGGCCCCTTCCAAAACTCCCACAGGGAGAAGTACTCTCTCTTGGGGTGAAGGGGGAAGCACTGAGTAGGCAGCAGGGGGTGCCCCATGTCCCAGAACACCATTCCCGAGCTGATACCATCTCGACAAGAAATTACCATCTTGACAAAGTTCATGCAAATGCACAGTCCTGGCTTCTTCAGACCCACAGAATCAGAACTTCCAGGGCGGGCCCTGGGAATCAGCAATCCTGAAAATCCTTCCACCTAATTCTCAGGCTCAGCTACAGGTTAGAATCACTCAGGCCAAATATATCGGACAGAAGGTGCCAGAGTGAGGCCCAGGCATCTGCATTTAAAAGCTCCCTGGCAACCCAGGCAGGGAAGTCGGGGTCGATGACAGCAATGCGGCTCCCTGAGAGCTGCCCCACACCTGAGGCTGCACCCCTAAGTCTGCTTTCTTTTTCCAACTAAGACATACCAGGGGCGCCTGGGCGGCTCAGTCAGTTAAGCATCCAACTCTTGGTTTCGGCTCAGGTCATGATCTCATGAGATCGAGCCCCAACTCAAGCTTTGGGCTTAGCGTGGAGTCTGCTTGAGATTCTCTGTGCCCTGCCCCCTTGCCCACACCCTCTTTCCCTTTAAAGTAAATAAACCTTTCTCAAAAAAAAATGTCTTTTTTTTTAAAGCCTTTATTTAATTATCTATTTTTTAGAAAGAGAAAGAGAACGTTGTGTGTGTGAGGAGAGAAGCAAGGCAGAGAGAGAGGAAATTTCAAGCAGACTCCACGCGGACCGCAAAGCCCGATGTGGGGCTCTATCCTGGGACCCTGAGATCATGACCTGAGTCAAAACAAGAGTCGGACGCTTAACCAACTGAGCTGCCCCTGAATAAATCTTAAAAAAAAAAAAAAAGACACAGCAGTGTCCACAATTCCCCCTGCCCCCCACTGAACAGGCACCAGTGTGAGGGGTTGACCAAGCACCCCGCATTCCTTTATGGTCAGTAGGTCAACGTGGTGTTTAATAAAATGCCAGGACCCCAGGCGAGCAGCCACAGGCAGCGAGTCCCAAGAACTCACTCACCATCGGGGAGGGGTAAGGCTGCTAAAACACAGGTGCTTGCTCGGGGCACAAGAACAACCTGTGGCTGCCCACGGGCAGGGGGAGCTCTGAGCCCAGAAGGAGCTGCTGCAGCCTCTTCTCCTAACAGTCATCACTTCAGATGCTCTGAGAGATTAAAGCAATGGGTGCTTTGCCTACGTTTACTCCAGTAGCATACACCAAGTTTACTGTGTTCCCAAAAGATGGCTGGGGAGGAGAAAGCTTTGGGAAAAAACCTCAGTCCCTTCAGTTTCTCTTTTGGAACATTCTGGAAAGTAGTGTCCAAGACTCGTGGAGACTATTTTAAAAACATAAGCTGGGGGACGCCTCGGTGGCTCAGTCGGTTAAGCGTCTGCCTTCGGCTCAGGTCATGATCCCAGGGTCTTGGTATCAAGTCCCGCCTCAGGCTCCCTGTTCAGCTGGGACCCTGCTTCCTCTCCCTTGGCCCCTTCCGCCGCTTGTGCACCCACCCCAAATAAATAAATTCTTTAAAAAACAAAAAAATCAAAAAACAAACAAACAAAATCATCCCCAGAGCACCTGCCCAAGATCTCAGGACGCTCTAATCTGCCCCTAGATGCGTTCCAGCTGCCCCGAAATGCTCATCCTGCCTATACCTCACCTCACCCTCCCTCTGCCACCTTCCCGTAAGTGCCATCAGATGCCCTCCTGCCACCTGATCCACAGCTGGACCGTGGGAGAATTACGGCGTACCCACACAGAAACCCAATACCCCACACATGCACCGGAGTCACTGGAAGCGATGTTAGAAGCACATGCTTCAAAGCAAGAGATAAAGCCAAGAGGAGGGGCAAGCCTGGCTAAGCCAGACCTCCCACCCACCTCCAGGCCTCACCTGCAGAAGGCATCTCCTGCTCGAATCACCACCACGGGTAGGCCTTCCGTGCACTTCACACACTTCAGTTCACGCCTTTCGAGACATGACGGGGGAGGGTAGAACACAGGCTGCAGCCCTCCCTCCAGCGGGCTTTGGGGAGGAGGCACTGCGATTCTCATCCCAGCCGGTGTATGGGAAGCTCATGCAGCTGCACACACACCAACCACGGCTTTTGTCTTATCCGAACTACCGATACGAAAAAAGACAAGGGCCGTGGGGGGATCTGAGTCTGCCTAAACCACCCGAGGACGCACACAGAGGCCACCTGTCAGCCTCTCAAGTGCCTGGCGGAACCACCTGTGTGACTCGGGAGGGCAGAGACGGAAGCGGCGGGGGGAAGGGGCCAGGAGGCCGACTCCTCTTCGGCCGAGGGCCCAAGCCGCAAGAATCACCAGCGCCAGAGCGCAGAGCCAGCCCCTTTCTGGGGCGTTCGCCCCCGGCTAGAGAGGCACCCCCGGGGTGCTGCGGAGCACGGTGCACCCCCACCGGGACCCGGGGCTTCTGGGCCCCAGCCTCGGCGGTCTCCCGGGTTCCGCAGCGCGGCGCCGGGGGCGAACTGCAAGGCGCGGGCCGCGCCCTCGGGGCAGGGCTTTGCCGCCGGCTCGGCGCCGGGAAGGAGAGGGGCGGGTGCGCACGCCCGGCTCTTACCCAGGCCGCAGTGGCGGCGGTCCCTCGGGCGCCGGGTCCCCGTAGTCCTCGCCAACCTGGCACATGGCTGCGCCCGGTCGCACGATAGTAAGCGCCGGCGGCGGGGAGACGCGCCCTAATAACGTCAGCGGGACGTCGCCGGGGCGTGGCCAGCGGATTGGGGGCGGAGCGCGCGCCTATGACGTCGGCGCCGCGGCCGTGACGAGCGGGGCGGGGGCGGGGCGCCCCTGATGACGTCAGCGCGGCGCCGTCGCGGCCGTGACGCGCGGACCTGGCCCGGCCGGGCCGGAACAGGGGCGGCGGCGGCGGCGGCGGCGGCGGCGGCAGGCCCGGCGCCGGGATGGCGATGTTCCGCAGCCTGGTGGCTTCGGCTCAGCAGCGGCAGCCGCCGGGCGGGCCGGCGGGCGGCGACAGCGGCCTGGAGGCGCAGTACAGCTGCCCGATCTGCCTGGAGGTGTACCACCGGCCCGTGGCCATCGGCAGCTGCGGCCACACGTGAGTGCGCCGGCCTGCGGGAGGCCGCGGGGCCGGGACGTCGCTGCGGGGAGGGGTCCGTGCCCGCCCCGGGAGGGGCCCGAGGCTCGCGGCCGCCCGGCGCAGCCCCGGAGCCAGGCGCGCGGAGGACTCGGGCGGGGGCGCAGGGCTCCCTGCGCAGGCCGGCCCTGTCCCCTGGGCGCGTTCCTCCGCCTCAGCTCAGCCTCCTGCCCGCCAGTCCCCGGCGAGCCGGGCACCCTGTCGGCGCATCGGGCGACCTGCAGCCCTGTCCGGTCCCGACTCCCCTGGGGTCCGCTTACGGCTTCGGCGGGCCTACCCGGGTACTCAGAGGGCAGCAGGCGACCTCTGCGCCAGTCGCCTTCGACTCGGTCCCCTGGAGACCGGGGTGGGCATTTGTAAATGAATGCCTTGTGGCTCTTCTTATCAACTCTTTTTCGGACCCGCTGTCTGCTTGTCTTAACGTCAGAGGAGAGGAGTTGCCTAAAGTTAGGAGAGGGACTTGTTTGGAGTCTGGTGCTGTTTTGTTTTGATGGAGATCTTGGGTCATATCCATCATTGAGCAGGCGGGCTGGCCCTGGGGACCAGACACCAAGCACCCTGCTAGGGTTTCCAGCTGCACCGGAGCCTCCAGGAGGGTCCTGCAGGGGTGTTTCAGCAACAGAAACCTGAGGATGTGGCTCTCCTCCCAGCGAGAGCTGCACTCAAGTCTTCTGCGAGCTGCCCGCCTGGTTGGAAGGGCGGCGAGTTCAGTGTCCACTCTCCGACTGGCTCCTGGCTGAACAGCACAGCTCTTGAGTGAAATCAGCAGTGTGGGAAGCGGGGTCAGGAGGGCTCGGTTGCCGGCAAGCAGGGCTACTGAGGCGGTGGGGCTTTCACTCCCAGGGGTTGGGCAGAGGTGCATCCAGGCAGGTAGGTGCCCCTGGAATATTTTGCTAACAGGCAGCTGACTTAGGAGGCTCCTGATAGAAAGGGGGAGCTGGGTAGGTGTGTGCCTTCTCGTCACCCAGGGACAGTGTCAGCATCCAAAAGCCTCCGCGTTCCTCCTCCTCCCGTGTGGGGCAGCACAAGCACCTGCCCACACCAAGGGAGGATAGCCAACTTGTCGGGAGGGGCCGTGCCTCACTGTCACACTGCTGGTGACATCTTGTCAGGGGCAGCCTCTGAACAAGACTCTTGGAAGCATATGCTGGTGGGTGTTTTCAGGTGTGCTCTGCAGTTTTCAGTCCATCGCTGAGACCTGTAAGGCTCGACCCAACTTTAGAAAGCCTTTCCTGGTTTTCGGATGGTCTCCCCTTGGCACCAACAGTTACTCATCCCAGGGCCACAGCATTTCCAGTCTCTGGGTCTGTACAAATCAGTGTACGGATTTTTTTTTTCCAGATAAGTCTTTTTTTTTTCCTCAGAAAAGTCTTTTCTTAAAATGTGGTCTTCAGAACACAGCTCTGCACAGAATTACGAAAGCATCATGTCCTCTAAACCCTTCCCCCACCCCATGTTTTTCTTGGCAGAATCTGATCTCTCTCCTGTTTCTGAGGCTGGTCCCGTGAGAAGCTCTTCCAGAGCGTCCTCCTTAGAAGCCCTCCTCCCTAGCTCTCTCTCTGCCTCTGTTTCTTACTCTTCCCAAGTTTCTGGTCTGGTGTCATGAAGGCACATGCACGAACAAGCACAGAGGACTTAAAGGCTCACGCTTTTCCTTCAAAGAACCTGGTGGTGGTCTAGGTATTTGTCCCGCACGGCCACCTAACCGTAAACAGTTTGCCTCCACAAAACAGAGTTTCTGGTGCTGAGCGGCTGTGCGTGGGCAGCACCAGACAGAAGAGGAGAGGTCGGGGTGGGTTTCGGTCAGGAGGCCCTCAGTGGGGCTTGTGGAAGAGCTCCCAAGAGCTCCCCAGGAGCCCCAGAGGGAGCCGGTTATTTCTCATATTCGGGGGACATCCTGGGCAGTAAGTCCCATCTGGAAGCAGAAGCTGCGTGGCTATGTATGACCCTCTGATGGGCCCTCCCCTGAGGGCCTGGGAGGGGGCAGGCTCCCCTGGCCTCCGTTCTCCTCTCATGCTCTCTCAGCACTGCTGTCCCACCGGTCCCTCCACCTCCACGTTCCCACATGCAGTCAATGAGCAGAGATCGTAGAGAAGAGCGCTCACGTTTAGGGGGGAACGTAGGGAATGATGAGGACAGGTGTGTCCTGCGCGCTCAGCGTGCCGTGGCCCCGTCGGCCAGGTGCTCTCGCTATTTTGTACAAGAGGCTGAGTTCCCAGGGGTCGCAGCAAAGCCAGAGCTTGAGCTCGGGCAGTCTGGCGGGGCTGGCCTCTGAGGCCCCGCCTCTCCCCCCTCCCCCCCGGCGAGCGCCCTTGCAGCAGTGACCCTGGAGACCCTGGGGACCGCTGAGCCTTGACAGCCCCCTGCCCACCTGCACCCAGACCCATGAGCGGGCTTCTCTGGGCGGGGTCTGTCACTCCCTGCTTGGCATGGAGAGCGCACCTCCAGCTGCGTGTGGGCGGACCAGGATGTGGGCGATTGAGATCATCCATGTAAGGCTTTGGAAGTCGGGCTCTGCCCCTGAGGACAGGTCCTGGCCTCTGTGGGTCCCCTGCACCGTTGGCCGGCGCTGGCACAGTGGTGTGTGCGAGAGGCCCGGGCAGGAGTGAGACGGGGCGCTGGAGCCCGTGAGGTGGCCGTCAGGTCTGGGGGCAGAGAGCAGACCCCTCAGCTGGCTCTGTCCGCTCGTGCTGGCAGAACCTCCTTGGAAGAGGCGGGCACGGCTTGTCTGGGGCGGCTCCGAGCACCGCGCTCATAGCGTGGAGACTTGGCTGCCAGCCGATGGTGCCCGCAGCCCCTCAGGCGCCACGACACACGGACCAGCAGAGCTGCAGGCCGGCGGGCGGGCGGGCAGGCCCGGGTGCAGGCAGGGGTCCATGCATGCCTTCTCAAGACCCCAAGCTCCCCGGCCCCCTCCTGCTGGCAAAGAGGTGCCCTTCACCCCGACCTATGCATCTGTCGTCGGAGACGTGGCCCTGAGGCCTGCCCTGACAACGTGGTGACTCGTCCCGAGTGCTCCTGGGGCCATCCTTATGCGTGTGCGTCTTACAGCATTGCTGAAGGAGGACGCCCTCGTCTGAAGGGTGCACGTCAGTGGTCCCTGGAGTGCGCGCTGTTGAGCCGGCGTCCCCGCCGCAGCAACCACGGGTCTGCTCTGACATGTCAACGGGGTCACACAACACATGTCCTGAGCTTGGCGTCCCCAAGACTCACCCATCCTGGGGCTCGGCCACATCCGTGTGTCCGTTCCCCGTGGATGACGTGGCTTGTGTCTGCCCCGTGGCTCTTGTGGTGGCACCGCCGTGCACACCCTCCGTGACAGTAGCCAGCTCTCCTCCTGTGGCAGGCGGAGGGAGAGAGCTGCATCGGCCGTTAGGCTGGTCGGACCCTTGGAGCTGGAGAGGTGGGCTTGGGCACTCCCCAGAGTGCCGTGGGGTGGTGCCTGGACGCCTCTGTCACATGCCCACCAGGTGTGGCGATGGGTGGGCCATCCTCCTCCTCCTGGGGGAAGGAGGCTGCCGGGAATGCTGCATCTTCTGATGGGCCTCAGGCCAAGCCAGGCCTTCTGTGCACATGTTCCTGCAAATGGTGCCGAGCCAGGTGGGGGCTGCACTGGAAGCCAGCACATAGGAGGAAGGCCCAGGCGCGGGCAGCAGGAGGGACTCCAGATCACCCCCACTGCCTTCTCCTGGGAAGGAGGTGAAGCCCTCCTGGTGGCAGAATGCCGGCCGCTGAGCTGAGCGTGTACACTTGGGAACACCCTCACATCCCATGGCCCTCACAGCCCCCCGCTTGGTGCACAGAGATGACAGCACAGTCGTGCACATCCCGATCTTTGCAGTCTTTGAAGGGGCTCCCTTTCTTGTGGGCGGGGGCTTAGCCCTCATCCTGGGGCCTAGTGCCCACTCGTCTGGGGCCCTGGGGCTCCGTCTCAGCGTCTGCAGATTCTAGGTCGGGGTCATAGCTGAGCGGCCCCCACAACGTTTCTTAAGAAGCTGGACCAAGGGGGTCCTGGGATCGAGCTCCCTCTTGCTGCCTGCTGGGTGCTCTCCAGCCCGGTGTCCCCGCGGACTGAACGCTGCTAGTTTCTCTGTGGCACGGGGGGGCCTCGGGGTGAGGAGGGCTTGCTGCTGCGGCCCAAGCACATCTGTATCCACTGGCTGGCTTCTTGATGCGGCATCTCCAGGGACAGCGCCAAGAGCCTCGGGCGCCCGAGTGTGTGCTGGGGCCATGAGTGTCCCTGCTCAGCCGCCAGGAGCCCAAGCAAGGCCCCTTCCGTCACCACGCCACTGCCCCAAGGCTGGACAGCTTTGGCCCCGCCCCGTCCAATGAGTCTCAGGCCCCTGGAGCCCTGTGGTTTCCTCTCCCAGCATTGTTGATGATCTTACTCTCCAACGCTTTGTGGGTGGAGGGTTTTTAGAGCCCCCCTGTGCTGCCTGTGTCCCCAGAGCACCTGGGGCGCTGGCATCACCACACGGCCGTGAGACGGGCAGGCTGAGCCTCGGGCTGGGCCCAGGGCCGCGGGGCCAGCACAGCTCCCGGAGAACCCCAGCCACAGCCCCACCAGCCTCGTGGATACGGCAACGGGCCCCAGAAACCCATGGCTGGGAGGGGACCTGGGGTCGTCGTTTAGCCAGAGGAACAGAATGATGGTCTCCAGAAACGTGCCGCCGACACAGAGGGGGGCTGACCTGTGAGGCTCAAAGCAGCCAGCAGCCCTCAGGCCCACGCCCGCTCCCCGTGCAGGTTCTGCGGGGAGTGCCTCCAGCCCTGCCTCCAGGTACCGTCCCCCCTCTGCCCGCTGTGCCGCCTGCCCTTCGACCCCAAGAAGGTGGACAAGGCCGCCCATGTGGAGAAGCAGCTCTCGTCCTACAAGGCGCCCTGCAGGGGCTGCAACAAGAAGGTACCCACCCCCGGGGTCCTCCTGGGGCGGGGCTGTGGTCTGCAGCTGCAGGGCCTGCTTCCGCTCCCCCCTCTCCTCTCCGGCAGAGAGGAACCTGTGCTCTGCCCCTCCCCCACAGCACCACTCACCTCCCTGGGGGCCTTCCCACACCCCCCACAGCCCCCCACATCACCCCCACCCCTGCCGCCTGCCCTGGGCTCTGGGTCTTATGTTGTTGCGTGGTCGCTGTTGTGGGGCTAATTTGGGGACATGGGAACTGAGCCTCAGCCCTGCCAACGGGGGTTGGGGCCCCAGGCAGAATGGAGGGGGGTGCCTTTCCAAGGCTGACCGCCACCACCCACGTGGCCTGGAGCCCCTCACAGTGGCCCAGCCCCAGGAGCAGATTTTGACTTTGCATTTTGATAGAAACATCACAATAGAAGGCGACTGCTGGTTGCTTTGTCCTACAGGTCAGGGTCAGAGTCAGGACATCCTGGAGCTACTTGGGTTCTGCAGTGAGGCTGCTGGCCTCCTTCCCTGGCACGCAGGCTTTCTCCCGAGAGAGAGCAGGCCAGGCCCATTCTCGGCTTCCCACATGCAGCGGGCTGCTCTGCCACAGCGTGCTCGGGTCTGTCCATACTCGTGGGCCAGTGGGGCAGGCCCGAGCAGAGCGGGGAGCCAGGCAGCCCTCGAGCGGACACCTGGGGGGATCTTGGCCCCGGGGACCTTACCCTCGCCCACACCCTCCTCGCTGCTTCCTTGGTCCTGTGAACGAGTTTCCTATTTGTGAGACATTACTCCCAGCCTGTTGGCATTGTTGACAGCAGGATTGGTAGCATCTGCTCCCCAGGGAGGGATGGCTGCATCTGTCTTTTTCCTTGGGTCGTTCACTTGAGCCACACCGAGGGAGGTCCGCGCACCTGGCCCCTTTCCCTGCCCCTCGGCCAGAGCGTGTGCCCCGGGCCGGGCTGAGGAGAAGGTTGTGCTGTGGTTTGGTACGTTTTGGTAAGAACTTCTATCAGGTAGATGCTTGGCCGTCTACAAGAATGCTGTCCCTCAGTTTCTGTAATGAGGGCTGTCCCCTCTGCCCCGATACATCTCTTCTGGTTTCCTCAAGGACTGCCCCTGCCCTCTGCGCCCCCGAGTGACCCCAGCTGAGGTGTACTCCTGTCCAGCAGCTGGTGGCCAGACGCACCTGCCAATGGGTGTCCGGAGTCTGTGTCTCCTTCCCTTGGTGCCCCTTTTCTGGCAGGGCCGTGAGGCCCCTGAGTGAAGCCTCCCCCCTGCTTACGCAGCACTGCGGGGCCGTGAACGTCAGGTGCAGGGACGGGCCCTGCTGCCTAGTGGCCCTCTCATCCTCTGGAGCCTGACCCCGACGCCTCCTCGGCCTCTGTCTTCCTAGGTGACATTGGCCAAGATGAGGGTGCACGTTTCCTCCTGCATGAAGGTCCAGGAGCAAATGGCCAACTGTCCCAAGTTCGTCCCCGTGGTGCCCACGTCTCAGCCCATCCCCAGGTAGGCCACCCCACTCCAGTGCTCAGAGCCCCTGTTCCTTGTAGGGGCAGCTCCTGGCCCATGTTGCTCTCCCTGGAGGAGGTGGGAGAGGCTGTTGTGTCCCCCTCTGCGGACAGCCTCGCTGCCCTGCAGGAAGGGGACCCCAAGGAGGGCCCGCACAGGCCCGCCAGTCACCTCCCAGCAGGGGGGTGTGGGGGGAAGGGATGGGACCCAGAGTGCAGGGGGAGGCCCAGCCGGGTGCCCCCGGGGTGGGCCACGCCACAGGTGGGGGCACTGCAGGCCCCCACTCACCTCCCGCCACCGCCGCAGCGCCGTCCCCAACAGGTCCACCTTCACCTGCCCCTACTGTGGCGCCCGCAACCTGGACCAGCAGGAGCTGCTCAAGCACTGTGTGGACAACCACCGCAGCGACCCCAACCGCGTGGTGAGCCGCCGGCCCCGGGGGGACGTGGGGGGGTGGGCCGGCTCCCCCGAGCAGCGGAGCGCTGCTTCAGCCTGCACCCCGTGTTGCAGGTGTGCCCCATCTGCTCGGCGATGCCCTGGGGGGACCCCAGCTACAAGAGCGCCAACTTCCTGCAGCACCTGCTGCACCGACACAAGTTCTCCTACGACACCTTTGTGGTGCGTGCCCCTCCCCGCGGCCGCGCCCCGCAGAGGCCCTGCCCCGCCCCTCCCCGCGCCCCTCCCCGCGCCCGCGGCCCCGCAGAGGCCCGGCCCTGCCCTTCCGTCCCCTGGAAACCATGCCCTCACCCGGCCCGCAGACCCTCCCGCACCAGGACCTTTGGGGCTAATCGCCCCCGGTCCTAGTTGCTCCTCAGAGCCCAGTTCCTCACTCCTCGCGCAGACCCGCCCGGCACTCGGTCTCCGGGCCAGGTGTCTGCGGGGCGGCTCGCTGCGGAAGGCCCGCGGTGCCCTCGAGGAGGAGCCAGAGGTGGATCCCGTGCGTGGGCCGCCCATCCCACGAGCCATGGCCCTGGGCGGGCAGCACGGCTCCCTCCGGGCCGCGGGACGGAGGGTCTGGCCCTGAGGGGCACCCGCGCATCCTCGCGTCTTCCCTTCGTGTCTTTCAGGATTACAGCATCGACGAGGAAGCTGCCTTCCAGGCTGCCCTGGCCCTGTCTCTGTCCGAGAACTGAAGGCACAGCCCAGCCCCTGGACCTGAGCCCTCCCGCCTCAGGGCACGGGGCCGCGGCTGAGGGGGACAGGCCCAGCGCCTGCGTGGAAATGCGCCTGTGGGACGAGCGGGTGGGACGAGCGGAGCCTCCTGTGTTGCAGGACAGACGTCCCCGAGCCCGCCAGGGGCCCTGCCGTCAGAGGGTGGCCACCAGTGCTCCTGGCCGAGCCTTGCTGGCTCCTCGGTGCTTCGGGCTGAGCAGGTGGCCCGCACGGGGCTGGCTCATTGGGCCCGCGAGCGGTGGGCGGCCGGTCCGCCTCAAAGCCATGCTGTCCTCCTCTCGGGCACAGAGACCCACTGTGCCCCGTCGGCGTCCCGCAGGCCTGGCTGCTGAGCAGGGGGCGCAGGGGAGCCTGGCCGCCGTCTCTCAGCGCTTCCAGTTCACGCACTCGGTACTGGCTTTTGTGATACTTAGAAATTCTGGCATTTTTCTATATTATCCAGTGTGATAATCTTTTCACATTTTATAGAGCAAAGACCGAGCAGTTACTCTTCATATTGCAATACCCGTGTTTGACTAGGAACAATAGTATTTTTATGGAACATTTACAAAATTATATTTTTTAAAAAAACAGTCAAAAAGCAACAGTTGTGGGATCAGCGAGGGGGAAGGAAAGAGAGGCGTGGACACCAGAGGCAGCGCGCGCCCTGGGGCTTTGCTCAGACAGATCCTGGCGCTGCTCTGCTGGGTCCCCCTTCCCAACTGCCAGGAAGAACCCCCAGGGCCCCTGGCCCCTCGCAGCGGCCGCCCCAGCAGTGCAGGCCTCCTCCCGCCAGGGCCCTGGCCCCCGCCCCACTGTCCCATTCCCAGGTGGACCCCGAACCGTGTTGGTAGGCCACCCCCGGGGTGACAGGTGGGGTTGGAAGGCGCTGTCTTACTCTTTCGGTTCACGGCATAAGTTATTGCTCTTTTAAAAAAAAACTTCAATAAAACATTTCGAAGCATCTATAGCAACCTTGACCGCTAGGTTTCATCTGGGAGGGTGAAAGGCAGGTGGGGGCTGGGGTGCAGCTGTGACCTCCCTTTGCTTGAGGTCTGCGGCTGTGTGTCTGTCCCTAGGCAGCTCGAGCACTTGGCGGGGGACGGTGCTGCCCACCTGCCCCAGGCCCCTCCCTGTGCACACAGTGCCTCCCTATGCTTCCCTCAGCCTGAGGCTCCCCCAGAACACATCCTCTCTCTTAAACCCTGTCTGGTCCCTGGTGACACATCTTGGCAAAAGTTTGCCAGGTGGTGGTGGTTTTCACCTCCTTCCTTGTCATGAGATGGGGTCCCCCCAAGGCCAGCACACTGGACTCAAGGCTTGTTCTGGGGGCCGGAGGTGGCCATGGAGGCTGGCGGGCAGTCTTTGGGATGCCCTCGGGGTGGGTGGAGCCCCGCGTCCCTGAGCAGCCACTCTCCCCATGGCTGGTTCTTGCTCTGTAGCTCCCCTGGGCATCCTCCTGGTGCCCCAGCATGTGACCTCGGCCCCCCAGCCTCATGCAGGGCCTAGCGGGCGGAAAGAGCCATTCAAATGTGAAACGTCCGGGACGCCTGGCTGGCTTAGAGTGTGCCACTCTTGGTCTTGGGTTTTATGTTCGAGCCCCACATTGGAGCTGGAGATTATTTAAAAATAAAATCTTTAAACGTGGAATGTCCAGCCAGAGATGGTGGTCTGGGCCACCAGGGCAGTTTCCCTGGGCAGGGCTGTGTTCTGGGCTGTTCCTCAAAGCAGGTGGGTCTCCTGAGCTTGAAGCCAAGGCAGGGCCAGGCAAACAAGCTGCCACTCGGGAGAGCGGTGACCAGCGGATCACCCCCTTAGGTCCTTCTGTAGGAGCCTTCAGCCCCAGCCTCCCCTCTTCAACCCCACTGGCCGAGGACGCCAGTTCCAGGGGGCAGGCATGGTGGCGGGTCCCTGCTGCCACCTGAGGACACCTGAGGAGCTCTGCCCCCTCCGTACAGCCACGGGGGCAAGAGCCACAGGACAGCGTCCACACGTGGCCTCTCATCCCGAACACCTCAGGGCAGTGTGCCCAGGGGAGGACAAAGTGAACCCCAACACGGCATGGGGGACACGGGCGAGCTGGATCTCGGCAGACCCCACAGTGTCGGTGGGGACGCTCGGGCTGAACGCCACAGCACAAACAGCCTCCCTTGTACTTCGAGTGACTCCCGTGCCAGCGGGGCTGTCCCGTCCAGGCCTCCCTGTAAATGAGCACGGCCGCCTCCAGGGTTTCCGCCACGTGCGCGCACACACAGACACATGCTTTAGGCTGGGAGTTCCCGGAAGCCAGTGTCCCCCTCCCACCCTGACACGCGGGGCCGGCCTCTGCAGCAGCTCACGTCCCCCACTGCCAGACAAAGCCAGACAGCCCTGCGTCCTGGGGCGCCCCCCCCCCGGAGTGCACACTTCCTTTCACGGTACGCACGGCATCGCGGCGTGGGGAGTCCACACGCACCCTGAGGCCTAGAAAGCATGCCTGGATCTCGGGTACCTACGACCGCCTATGTTAGCACGGGGCCGGCCGGCAAGACGCCCAGAGGGCAGAGCCCCCAGGCCCCCGAGCCCTGGCGCGGTGCTCACCCCCGGGTCGCACGGGAGCTGAGCACCTCTGAGAGTTTGGCCCACTGCCCTGACCTATCCTGGGCCACAGCCAGCCGGGCTCCCACAGAGGCACCCTGCTGAATGTGGTGGCCAGCCAGCCAGGCCAGCCGAGGAGGTGCTTTGGACCCAAAAGCCCCGCTGCTGGCTCCTTCGGGGCCAGAAGAGACTCCAGGCCCTGCAGTCAGTGGCTTCCAGAAAGCCTGCGCTAGGGACCCCAGGCCTGGGACCCAGGAGGCTCCTGTCTGGCCGATGCACTCGGCGCCTTGGAGGCAGTTGCAGCTGAGGTCTGAGCGCCTGAGACGCCTCTCCGAGGAGCCTCCAAGGGCAGGCCGCGCTTACTGGCCTCTGCCCCCTGGTGGCTGGTGTGAGAAGCACAGGGCGTGCCGTGGTGCGGAGGCTTGGCTGGGGGCAGGTCTGCAAGATGGGGACTCCAGCCCCTCCCGGTGACAGAGAGCCGCCCGACAGGTGGCCCTCCCGGTCTCCAACAGCCTGCTGGGAACAAGGGGCCAGCTCCAGCGTGCAGGGAGGAGGCAGTGGGGTGCAGAGTGGGAAACCCTGCTGTGGACCCAAGACACCCTTCTCCTTGAAACCCTGCAGGGCATCCTGCTGACGCCTGACACCCATATCACACGGGAACAGCACCTGCGGCCTCACAAAACACACATGTGCACACACATGCATCATGTGCGCACGCGGCAGGCCACAGCCCAGCATGTGCATGCACCCCTGCTCGGCCCCCCACTGCTTTCTCCCCCTTCCACCCCAGCCCCTAGAACCCCTCCTCAGCACCCAACACCGTGTCCCCTGGCATGCCTAGGACACCATGTCTAGGACTCTCCTGCATGTCGAATAAGCTGTGTGGGAAGGGACAGTGTCCCTTTCTGTCTCACACGGACATGTCCCCCAGACCCCAGACTAAGAACCAGCATCAGCTGTAACAGGCCTCAAAATGGAATGAGCTCCCCTTCTCTGGGGGTGACCAAGCACTCACTGGCACCAATCTGACCAGATGTTGGGAGCTGGAACATTTGGTCTCAGTTTCCACAAGTCCATGACCTCGTACAGCCATGAGGTTGCCCTAAGTCAGGATATCCCAGCTACAGCCACACCCCAATGAACACCCCACATGCTGGTGCAGGAGCCCTTTGTCCCTGGGCTGGAGTCCCCAGTGCGAGGGGCCATCTGTCTGGGGTCCTGGGACAGGTGAGCCCCAGCTGTGAGGTCCAGCTCTGAGCACTGTTCCAAGAGTCTTGGTCCCTGGGGCCTGTGCTTCATGCTGATATGTCCACACTTGAGAGCACAGAGGCTCACACTTCTCCAAGCCCCAGGGATGTGCATGCCAGGGGCCATGCTGTTTTGGGGTTCTCGATGCCTTTCCATCTCATCCAACCAGCGTTGCTGGACCCCACCGTGCACATGCAGGTACTGTGCAGGAGTGAGGGCTGGCTCCCAGCTGGCCCCCCTCTTGGGCACAGTCTGATAGGGAGCAGGGTCCCCCAAACCAGGTCATGAAACCCAATCAGTTAAAAAGTGAGCATGCAGTGGGGATGCAGATGTATGTGTACATACATAGGCAGAGTCAAGCACTACCTGTCATGAAAAAAAGACTCCAAACACATACACATAAAAAGAGAAACTAAGTAGAACTGTAGCAATCGCTCGGGAGGTGCCTATCCTAATTGGAAAGCGCTGCTCAGGCGGCTGACAGAGGCAGATGGGTGGGGCCCACAGCCTGGCTCCCAGCCAGCTGTCATCCCTAAGGTCTTAGGTGCCAAGGGAAGACTGCTGTGATTTCTTCTGGAAGGCAGAGACTCTGGTCCCTGCAAGTCCTGCTCTGGTTGAAAGAGGGGCAGTTCCAGGAGACTGGTGGGAAGTGGGCAGGCGTGAGGCTTAATGGCCAAGTAAAGCGGCCATAAGGAAGATAGAAGGACACAGAGCAAGAGTGGATGGGGACAGCTGCACCCCCTCCCTGGCACTGCACAGGTGTGGACAAGTAGATGCCAGTGTCCTCCTCTGTGGGTCCTTCCTGGGTCCAACCCAGACACAACCCTGTGAGTTACAGCCAGTGAGTCTGCATGACTCCAAGGAGGGCTGAGAAGTGGGTGGGGGTCATTTGTAATGACAGCCCTAGGAAAAGAATATACTGCCCCTACCCCACAGTGGCTCTAAGGACCCTCGGGATCCCAGGGAGCATTTCCAGGAATAGATCAAGAACACTCAAGTTTCCCTAAATAGTGTGAGCATCTCTCTGGAGATGAGGGACATCTTCTTGGCGGGCAGCCACACAGTGCGTAACCGGGTGAGGAGGGACAGTGTGGGTGGAGGGCTGACCCAGGTACCTGCAAGCCTTATCTACGTCTGGCAGGGAAAAGAAGGAAGAGCGGGTATAAATAGAAAGTTTGCGAGGCCACAGAACAGGTGAATAAGCAGAAGGCAGCCACGTGTCCTCTGAAATCCACACGCACAACAGCAGGGTGCCAGGCTATGGCCCACAGGAGAGATGCGTGCCTTCTGTCCGTGCACCACCTGCCCTTCCATGCTCTCACCAAGCCACATGTGCTCCCCTGGGTTCCTATTCCCCCACTTCCTAACTTCTCAGAGCCTCCACCTTCTCGTCTGCAACACTATGAACATCAGACCCTGGGTGACATGGCCCTCCCTCCCTGCTTCTCCAGAGGTCCTTCTACAGGCTCACCATCAACTTCACCTCGTCGCCCCCCAAGCCCTCGGCTGGCAAAGAGCACCAGCAGTCCCGTGGCACCCAGGCCTCAAAGGCACCGCCAGAAAGGCAGGCCTGCTGCACAGCCACAGAAAAGCCCCGCAGCTGTCAGGGGCAGGCTTGGGGCTGTGTCCACTCGTCCAGAGAATGCCCCATCTGACCCCTGAAGTCCTGAAACGTCCACATCAAAGGGACCAGACACTCAGACATGGCTCGTCCAGCTCTCTGCCGCACTGAAGGAGGGACACGACTGCCCAGGGTCACAGACTAGGCTGTTGCACAGCGCACGCACTTCCCCCCCTTTGATGAAACTTCCCATAAGCGCAGCTCAGAACCCCTTGGAATCCCAGAATTCCAGGCTGTGTCCCTTCTCCCAACCAGAGGAGCCTTCTGGAGGCGCGGGCCAACTCCTAAAGCCCTGTCCCCAGAGGACAGGAACCCTCCCCAGGTTTCACCCCCTGGGAAAGGCCCCTCTCCCCCAGGTCAGCTGACCCCCGTCACCACTAGGGCTAGTCAGGTGGGTCAGCTTTGGAATTCGGGGCTTGTGCTCATCAATCCTACCGTTGCGAGTTTGCGCAGCAGGCGGGGCGGGTGTAACCAGCTGGAGCAGGGGTTCTGCGAACGCCTCCACCGCCGTGTGGACTGGAGCCCGGCTCGGCTTCCACCCAGCCCTGACCTCCGCCCTTTAGTCCACGGTGAGTGGGTGCGCCAGGCCCCAGGGGTCGGTGTGACTCGCGGCGCGCGCCAGGGCAGTCCCGTGGGGAGGACTCGGCGGCCACGCGCTCCCTCCCCCGCGGCCCGCGCACCTGTCCTGGGCGTGGCCCCGAAGCCCCGCCCCGCGACCCCGCCCCGGCCGCGCCTTGCGCTGGTTGGCCCAGAGGGCGCGCTATGCTAATGAGCCAGCCCTCCCGCCACCTGCCTGCAGCGCAGCCCGCGGGCGTTGGGCGGACGCGCTGCGGGACCCGCGTTAGCAGGGGGACCATGCCGCGCTCCTTCCTGGTGAAAACGCACTCCAGCCACAGGGTTCCCAACTACAGGCAGCTGGAGACGCAGAGAGGTAGGGGCTGCCGGGCTCCTCGGACTCCCGCCCCAGGTGGGAGGAAAGGAGTTATCTTGCCAGCAGAGCGGGAGCGAGACCCCGGGTGGGTGGGTGGCCTCCGGGCGCCTCGTCCGCTTCGGGGGCCTCGGCCCCGCGTTGGGCTGAGCAGGCGCGGATTCCCTCCCCACTCAGAGAAGTCTCTAGACCCCCCAGTCACTTTGGGGCTCTCCCCCTGTGGCCTGGTAAACCCATCCCAGCTAAGGGAGCCCTGGAGCCATCTTCCTGGTGCAGGAGGTTGGGTGGGTAGGTGGGTGGGGACCCAGGGATTGGTGGGGAGAGAGATGGGAGGACTTGGGGCTGCTGTCCAAGTGCTCCCCCAGAACATCCAGAGAGGACCAGAAGAGCGATCCATGGGCTCTGTGTGCCAAGGCCCAGCTCTTGTAGCGCTCCTCCAGTCCCCTCCATTGCTTCCTCACCCCTCCCGTGGGTCACCTTCCCTCGGGCCTCCCCTCACCCCAGTGACGGTTCCTCAGAGGAGGCTGGGGGAGCTGAGGGGCTGCAGTCCTTCCCCCAGCCCCCAGGGTGGCTCAGTGGGGAGACACACGTCCAGGACCCAGGACTATCCATGTATCCCCATTCCCTGCTAGGCATAGGGACACAAGAAGGTCCCAGGACATAGGCCTCTCTAGAATGATCAGGGCCATTCCCCACAGTTCAGCAGCTTCTTGGGGCTGAATACCCCCCGACCCCAGGAAACTGCTTGGTGACTCAGACAGAGGGGAGGAGGGACAATGCAGAGGCCTGCGAGTGGACGCCTCACTGATCCATCCGGGGGCCCACTGCCGCCAGGGGGTGCCTTCTAGGACTGGGCTCCTGAACTCTGCATTTTGAAATCAATTTAATGAGTCACCACCAGCAGTTTCATAAAATGAAACAGAACAGAAACCATCAGAGTGCAGGGCTCAGGTAAAGGAAACTTGTTTTAGATATATGTGTATATATATATGATAGAAAATGGAATTGACCTTTGCCATAATTGTTAACGTTTCAAACCTGTTGTTTAAGCCCAGCCTTAATGTGCACCCCGCTTTACATGCAGACCGTGCAGACTAGGGCAGCCAGTGACGAGCGTCAGACTCAGCTGCCTCCTGTCCCCCACCCCTCCTCGATGTCACTCCCCTCGCATGTGGAGACCTAGGTGACCACTGTGAGCCTCTTCCTGCCAGGATGTTGTCTGGGGCCCCTCACTCATTTTAAATAAGTCCCTTTTCAGGCCGCCCCCAGGTAACTCTGAAACCAGAGAGGACTTAAAAGTCTCTTCTCCTGGGAATCTGAGTCCCAGGACCAGTAACAAAATCGAGCAGCCCCAGAGGGTGTGGGGAGGCATTTAAAGGACCAGCAGAAGCTCGGGTCAACACCACCAGCACAGCTACCTCGCTCCCCTGCCCTCTCCCTGGGACCGCCCCCTCCCCCCCCACCCCCCCCGCCCCCCCCGCCAGACAGGGTTTGGCTCTGGCGATGCCTGGGGCCAGGGTGGTGGCTGCATCCCAGAGATTTAAGAAAGGTGACTTTTTTCCCCCAGTAGAAAGGCTCCTCTTGGAGCTTCTGTGGGGTCCTAGGCTCTCCGGCATCCCAGGGCTGTCTTTCCAGAACTTCCTTGGCCTTTGTCTCTTAGCTGGTCACCGCTACTCCCTCTTCCTGGGAGGACAGAAATTGGGTGTGCTATTTTATAATTAGGGGAATTATGGGTGAGGTCAGGACAGAGTGGTGGGTGGGAACCTTCCTTAAAGGTCCTCATTTCTCTACATCCTCACCGACACTTGTAACTGGCTATTTTTAATTCTAGCCATCCTAGTGGGCGTGACATGGTATTTTGTTGTGGCTTTAATTTGCATTTCCTTGATGGATAATGGTGGCAAGCATCTTTTCCTGTGTTTGTTAGCCGTTTGTATCTTTCTTGCTTTTTTTTTTTTTTTAAGTAATCTGTACGCCCAAGGTGGGGTTTGAACTCACAACCCTGAAATTAAGAGTCACGTGATCTACAAACTGAGCCAGCCAGGCACCCTGCCATTTGTATATCTTGTTTGGAGAAAGGTTTCTTCAGATCCTTTACCCATTTTAAAATTGTATTCTCTTTTCATTGTTGAGTTGCTAGAGTTCTTTGTATATTCTGCATGCTAGTTACTTATCAGATACATGATTTGCAAATATTTTCTCCCAATCTGTGGGTTGTCTTTCTCTACCCAAAGCCTTGGCATTAAGGTAGAAATGGGGCCAGAGATTTATTTCAACACATCTGGAGTACGAAATGGGTCGGGGGCTGTGGAGATTTGGGCTTGGGGGAAATGCTCACCTGTTTACTCTGGGGGATCCTGCCGCTCTCATCTGGTCAAGCATGGGCATGCTGGCCCACAAATGTGGGAGCAGCGGCCTGGGGACCAGCTGCCCCTGGAGGCCGTTGTGGTACCACCGAGGACAGCCGTCAACCCGGGAGTGTTGGCTGGAGGCTGTGTGCACCTCCGTCACCATGGGTGAGGGGTGATCGGGGTGACTGAAGGCCAATTAGTTCTCTTACACATCGCGGCGGACTGCCGAGTGTCTGTTCTGAATTAGCTCTGTGTAGGAGCCTGGCGCCACAGCTCTGAGCTGGCCCCGAGGTGGAACGGGGGTCAGGGAGGCCTGCCCTGCCTGGGCAGTGGGGGAGCCTGAGATCTCTCCAGTAGACCCTGTGGTCACTTCCTGAGCTGACACCCCACCTCGTCAGCCCTTTCCCTTCCCGTGGACTGCCGACGACCTAGAAGAGGCCTGAGGTCGGACCAAGCAGGGCAAGCGTGAGGACAGAGTGTGGGGGCTCGTGTTCACCTGTACCTTCTCTCTCCGCCCTCCCTTCTAGAGATCAATGGTGCCTGTTCTGCCTGCAGGGGGCTGGTGGTGCCCCTCCTCCTCCCAGATAAAGCAGCCTCGTCCACACCTGGTGACCCTCCCTGGCCCTGGGACTGCACCTCTGTCATGGCCCGCATCTCGCTGCCCCTTCCCCACCGCGAGGAAGCGTGGGGGGCCTCCGGGCCAGAACCCCTGCAGGTCGGCCCCGTGCACCCTTGGGCCGGCTGGGCCCCCAGCGTGCCCCTCAAAGACAGCCTGAACCAGCTCAACCTGCCCCCGCGGCTGCTGCTGGCCACACGGTGGCCCCCGATCCCGGGCCCCGCCGGGGACCAGGCCGCAGACAGACTGCCGGGGGGCGCGGCGCGGGCCCCCCGCGGCCCCGGCGGCTTCCAGTGCCCGCACTGCCGCAAGCCCTACCACACGCTGGCCGGGCTGGCCAGGCACCGCGAGCTGCACTGCTGGCTACGGACGCCCCGCTGCTTCCCCTGCAAACACTGCGACAAGGAGTACAGCAGCCTGGGCGCCCTCAAGATGCACATCCGCACGCACACACTGCCCTGCCCCTGCGCCATCTGCGGCAAGGCCTTCTCCAGGCCCTGGCTGCTCCGCGGCCACATCCGCACCCACACAGGTGGGTCCGCCGGAGGGGCCCGGCAGGGGCGAGGGTCAGGCCTGGCCCTTGCAAAGGGAGGGAGGGGTCCGCGTCTTGCTTTCCAAAGCCCCACAGACCAGAGGCTCAGACATCGAAAATGCCCTCTCCCCCCGTCCTGGAGGCCCTGGAGGCCGGAGTCTGGAACAGGGTGTAGGTGGGGCCACGCTCCCTGCCAAGGCTCCAAGGGAGGGTCCTTCCTGCCTCCTCCAGCTCCAGGGGGCCTGGGTGTCCCTCAGCGGCGGCCGCGCCCCTCGCCCCTGCCCCGTCCTCACGGGGCCTCATTTCCCTCTGTTGTAAGGACACCAGTCATATGGGACCGGGGCCCACATACCCCAGGGCGACCCCACCCTAACCCGGTCACATCTGCAGGGGCCTGTGCTCCAGGTCAGGTCACATCCACAGGTACCGGGGGTTACGACGCAGACACCTCTGTTAAGGGACACACAACTCAACCCACAACACCCGGCAAAGCACAGGACGCACCTGCCACGGCCTCCCGGAATCTGGAGCCGCAGGAGCAGGGCACGGGGCAAGGCGGGTGGCAAGCACGGGGGCCACACGGACTGTCTGAAGGGCACGGATGGTAGCTGCAACTTGACCGGGGCCCAGGGGCAAACCCATCCCCGGGAAGAGGATGCCCGAACACAGGAAGGGAGAGAACGGCAGCTGTGGACAGACAGACGGACAGACACAGACGAGCCAAGGAAGGAGAGGGGCCCAGGAGCCTCCGCACTTGGTCTGTAAACCACCGCTGAGCTGGGCCTGAGGGCAGGGGGTAGGACCACAGCTCACCCCAGGCCCACCAGGACAGGGAGAGGCAGACACAGACAGAAGGCCAGGAATAAGACTCGCAGGGCCGAGGCCCACGGCTGCCACACACGCTCGCTGGCCCTAAGTCACGACTCTATAATTAAGACTCTTTGGAGACCCAGCCAGACAAACGCTCGAAAGAAGGGTTTTGCAGAAGCTGTTCCATTCGGTTTTCCTTAGCTCCCCCCACAAAGATGTCCCTGAGCGCCCCCCACACACCCTCGGGGGCTCAGCACTCTCGTCTGGGAGCGCTGAGGGTGGGAGGCCCCGCAGGAGGCTGACCTGGCTGGGAGGACACGTGGGAGCTTTGGGCTTTGGGAGCTTTGGGCGGCAGGGATGAAATGCCCTGGGGCCGTGGGGGCTGCAGGCTGGTGCCTCTCAGGATTCTGTAGGGTGGAGGACCAGGAGTCACTCCACACGGGCAGAGGAGAACAGATGGCCCCCAATGGTCCTCTTATACTTGTTAGGGTCGTCCTGGGGGCCCAGCTCCCAACAGAAGGACTTTGTCTAAATCCCTGGTCGCCCTGATTGGAGGTGCTCCAGGGGACACAAGGTTCTTAAGCCATTCCTAAATGCCTGCTTCATTGCAAGGGCTGGGCCTCGTTCCTCCCAGCCCACCTTCATGGCCGACTCTGTGAGAGCCATGCTGCTTGCCACCCCTGTCCTTCCATGGGTGGGAACAGCGGCCAGAAGGCCCCTAGTGCTTCTCAGGGGCAGATGTGGGCAAAGGGCCCCAGGAGGGCTCTGGCAGAAACAGAGAAAGATCTAGCAACCGTGGTAGATCCAGCAAAGAACCATGCTAGATCTTTCCTCTTAGAAAGGGTTTTAGGTGCTGCAGTCCTGCCCGGATGTTACATTCCATCCTATTCCCAAGTGGCTTGGACCTCGACAGTGTTTGTGGGCCTGTTGGTCCTAGGGCTTCCTCCTGGATCAGGTGCCAAAGCCCCCACCATGCATCTCCTGAGAAGGGTGCTGAAGGAAGATAATGCATTAGAATTGCCATGAGCATTTGGGGGAGGTGGAGGGGCTTATTCATTTATTTTCTATTTAAAGATTTTATTTATTTGGGGCAGGGGAGGAGCAGAGGGAGAGGGAGAAGCTCAAGCAGACTCCCGCTGAGCGCGAAGCCTGATGTGGGGCTCCGTCTCACGACCCTGAGACCGTGACCTGAGCCAAAATCCACAGTCAGATGCTCACCAGCTGAGCCACCCAGGCACCCCGGGGCTTTTCATTTATAAACGGACCCATGAACCTGGGGCCAGCTCCTGTGACCACGCAGAGGGACACTGATCCGGCACTCCTCTTCCTCCCCCAGGTGAGAAGCCCTACACCTGCTCTCACTGCAGCAGGGCCTTCGCCGACCGCTCCAATCTCCGGGCCCACCTGCAAACACACTCCGACACCAAGAAGTACCAGTGTAAGAGCTGTGCCAAGACCTTCTCCCGCATGTCGCTCCTGGCACGCCACGAGGAGTCCGCCTGCTGCCCCGGCCCCTGAGGAGCGCGGGCTCGGTGCAGGGAGGAGGGACAGGACGTCACCCCAGGAGCTGGGGGCTGACCCGCTCCAGGCAGCCTATGCTGCCTACGCTCGCCCGCTGGGTGTTTCTCCTCTGCCCGTCTGCAGCCGCCCGCCTCCGTCCAGAGCCAGAGAAGCCCGGTGGGCTGTTCGGGTAAGTGACCGAAGAAGGTCACCGAACCGTGAACCACAGTCCTGTGTCTGACTCGCTCTGGTTTCTGGTTCTGTTCTCCCAGAGTCGGCTACCAGCACGGACAGCTCCTGCCATTCAGCTGGCCCTCGCGGGCAGAGCGGCCTCGTGGCTCACCTCCACCTGCTGCTGGTCTGGACTCTAGGCCAAGTCACGTCACGGGTGCGCGCACGCATGCCCCCCTGCCCACCTCACCGGGCGGCCCCGGGGACAGAGCTGGGACCCCACCACAACCGCACGGCAGCGAGGAGCCTAGAGCCCTGGCTGCCGTGTCCTCTGAGGCTCCGAGTCTATGGCGGAGGCTGAGCGCAGAGCTATCCTCCAGAGGCCACAGATGCCTGGGTAATTTGGGCCTCTGGCCACGGAGTAGGGGAGGCGATGGCGAGGACGTGGAGCCATGAAGTGCAGGGACAGAGAGCAGGGCTGGCGGGAGGCAGGCGGCAAGAGCACAAGCAGGTGAGCAGAGGCACCGTCTTTCGGAAGAAAGAGACCAGCATTTAATAGGGAGGGAGAGTAGCCACGGGGCGAGGACATGCTGGGGTAAGGGCGTGAGAGCAGAGGCCCGAGGAAGAGGCAGCCATGGGCTGCGTTGGCAGGGTGCCCAGAAGATAGTCTAGTCCTGGGTCTGCACACGTCTCTCCTGAGCCCACTGCGTCACCCAGGAGCTGTGTCCATGGCACCGTCACCTCCCTCTGCCTGCCTCTCCTGACGCCACAGGTGTCCACCAGCTGAGTGAGCAGCAGACCCTGGCACTGCCCAAGACACGCCTCCCAAACTGACTCAGGTAACAACAGGAGACCCCTCCCCAGCCTCGGGCCCCCACGTGGCAGCCTCTTCCCACCCGAGACCTCCAGGCGGTCACCTGCTGGGCTGGTCCTCCCTCTTGCCAGCACGTCTCAGCGTCTCCGGCTGGCCCGCGTCTAACGGGGACTGATTGAGTTCTCGACACCCGGAGGGGACACCTGCTCCTCTCTTCAGGAGAGCTGGCCTGCTGTCAGCAACGCCACTTCTGGCCCAGGCTGAGGGACAAAGTCAGGGACCTTGGTCCTGGCCCTGAATGGGGCCATAGGGCAAGCGGCAGAGGCCCCTGTCTCAGCCCCAGGCCACATGGACCTGCTGAGGAGCATTTACCAGCCCACGCCGGGCCACAAGGCCCCTGTAGATTCCTCCAGAAGCTCCTCCAGGGCTGGTTTGATGACGGCCATTGGAGGAGCCTTGGGGACACCCCAGATGAAATGTGACCATGATCTTGGGCTTCTCTGGACCAAGGGTGACCTTGATGAAACTGGCCACCCAGGAGACCACAGCTCCAGCATGCACCAGACTGTATCAGCAGGGGGAATGAAGACACCCTCTGGGAAAGCCTCGCTCACATTCCCAGGCCTGCACCGCTGCGTTCCCTCCGCAGGTATCAGCCATCCCTCGAGGCTTAGCTAATATATCAGTTTGCTGGGGCTGCCGTGACCAAGTCCCACACACTGGGCGGCTTGAACCACAGAAATCTACTCTCCCACAATCTGGAGGCCAGGAGTCCCAGACCGAGGTGCCGGCATGGCTGGTTCCTTCTGGGGCTCCTCTCTCGGCCGGTAGACCCATCACCCATCTCTGCCTCCACCTCGCTCGGCTTCTTCCTGCCTCTGCGTCTGTCTCTGTGTCCAAATTCCCCCTTTTTGTGAGGACACCAGGCATACTGGGTTAGGACCTACCTTGATGACCTCATCTTAACTTGATCAACTCCAAAGACCCTGGTTCCAAATAGGGACACATTCTGAGGTCCTGGGGGTCAGGATTTCCAACAGCTAATGTGAACACAGAGTTTGCCAAGACGCCTGATGGGGGGGGCGGTGGTCCCTGTGCTTGACTCCTCTGTCCTCTCAGTCCACAAAGGATCGGGGGGCAGGGGGGGTGCAGTCGATTTAACTGACAGATTTACTGGAAACATTTACCACTTCCCACCTGTCCATCATCTGAGCAGGGCCCCACGCTCACAGGGCAGCCTTTCCTCCCAGCAGTCTCCCAGAGCTCTGGGCTCCTCCATTGAGCGGGTCAAGCCAGCGATCGGGCCTATGTCCCACCATCTCACAGGAGGCCTTTTTGTTTTTTTTTTTTTAAATAGCATCCAGATGCCTGAAGGAAGCTATATTGTAGATTGTGTTCTATTTCTGGGCCCCGATGTCTAAATGAGGCGATGCACCTGTTGGGTATGAAGGGAGAGAATTTCGCGGCCCTAAAATAAAGTCGAATGCTTGCCCTTCTGTGCCGGCCCATGGAAAATGCTCTTATATTTATATCTGGACTGGCAGAGGGCAGGGCAGTGGAGGCTGGCTTGGCCAAGGGGGTGAAGAAAGGCCCAAGCACCTGCCGGGGAACCAACGGAGGATGAATGGGGGAGACGGTCCACCAGGAGCGAGTTGGCTGTGGTCAGACCACAGGGAGGCCATGCCACCCCGCCCGCGCAGGGCTGGCACCTCCCCCCTCCCCACCACCCCCACCCCCGCTTTTCCTTGTCACTTTGCCTGGTCGTCAGAATTCACCTGGGACACCCATTTAAAAAGCTGGCTTTCTGGAGCCCCCTCCCAACACCTACAGAGTGGGAATCAGGAAGGGGGTCTAGGCCTCGTTCATGTCTGTCCTGGTGAAGTGGGCGTGGCGGGTGCTTTTCTCCGGGGGCTGCTGTTTGGGTCCCTCCACCCATAGGCCTTCTTTTTCCTACCCAAATTTTACTGATCACATTTCCCTCTTCACCCTAAAGAAGGCCTTTGGGATCAAGTGGAAGAGGGACCAGAGGCCCTGGGGCTGAGGAGCTGGGAGTGGTGCTATGGTTGCAGCCCGTTATGTCTGGAGAAAAGCAGAAGCCTAAGAGATCAGCGAGGATTCCGGACAAGAGGAAAACCATGTAACGAGCCCTCCAAGGTTGGGGACCCCGTCTTTCAGCATGAGAGGTGCCCCTGGATAGCAGCATGAGGGCCATGGACAGGGTCAGCACCAGATACCCGGCCAGGAAAACCACTGTTCTCGGACTCAGATGCCAGCGCCCGGCCTCCACGGGCTCAGGTCCTGGAAACAGGTGTGAGAGGGACACCCAGTTTCTCAGTGGCCCGGTCCCCTGCCCCGCCCCCCGTCAAGGAAACCTCTCTCCTGAAGCTGCAGACACACTAAGGTTATGCCTTCCCTTCCAAAAGCCCAGAGAGTTCCATAAATATCATTTGGGCCCAGAATATTCTGGGGGGGGGGGTTCTCTGGAAGTTTGAAAATAGCCCACTTGCTACTATCTATACTCAGAGAACCCACTCCTGGCCTCCACTTGGTGGCTAAGTATAGCTCGCTGGCAAAGTTCAATGGAACAAAAGTTTCCAGGCCTCTATCACTTGCGGACGGCATGACATTCCAGGGAGGGCACTGCCAAGACTCAAGGGCTCCAAGGAGGCTGGGACAGCAGGGCGCCCCCGGGCGGGGGAGTCTGTGGGACTCACTGGCAATCAGGTGTCCTGGCCTGGTTCCCAAGTGAGGCGTTCTGATCCCAGCAGAGCCAATCCCACTATAAAGCCTTAGCTTCTGCTTCTGTAAAAAGGAATCATGCTAAACTCTATTTCACAACTCAGGGGAGTGCCAAATACATATAATAGCAAAAAAAAAAAAAAAAAAAAAGACACTTAGGATGCCTCAAATAAAACCAAACGGCTAACTTTAGAGAAACCGTCCACCTTCACCTCCTCTTAGAAGCTGCATGCACTTCCCGACCACCGAGTTCTGGCTCCTGATCTCCCCTCCCAACTGCCTGCGCTGCTAAGGGCGTCCTCAGGGCCCAGCAGACACGGCAGGGGCTCGAGCACACAGTGGTGCCAAGGGCGGGAGGGCTGAGGGGCAGAGGCTCAGGGTCCGTCACGGCGGCTGGGCACGTACGTCTCTGGTAGGTGCAAGAGTTCGGGGCTGCCTCCCCACATCGTCCATCCATGCTGCCAGCCCGACCCCCAGGCTGCCCTGAGGGCATCCACCGCCCCCCGCCCCCATCTCCCGGCACCGCTGCCCCTCGGGGCCTCTCTTCTGTTTTCCTGTAAAGACCCAGCCATCACGGGTCCTTCAGGAAGACGTGTAATCACATGGCTTGCCTAGCTCAGGACGCCAGCCCCGCTTTCCCTCCCCTGGGAGCAGGCCTGGGCTCCAGACAGTGAAACCATGACCTCGGAAATGAGAGTGTGTAAGGAAGGCGGTCTTGGAGCCAAAGGGGACTCTGAAAACTGCACGTTCACCTCGGGAAGGCAAGTGTTCAGAATCGGCCAAAAGGAGGCTGGGGTTGAGAACAGTCCGCGCCCAAGCCCACTGCCGGTTCCTCTGCTGAGCATGAGCTGAGGCGCGCCTGCTGTCCCGTGGCTCCAGTGACCACGGTGGGCTGTCCCTGCCCCCCTCTCAGAACCCACACAAGTGGTCTGCAGGCCTCCCCCCACGGCGACTGCGTGGGAGACCCCTCACGGTGGGGCGCACACGCTGATGGTGCAGAAGCAGCGGGGGCTTTTGTGCTGGCATCTCGGCACGGGCCAGCCAGCTCGCTGCCCCAGGGCCCTGGCACGTCCCCACCACACACTCACGGAAATCACATGCAGCCTAAGGACACCCGGAATTGTATTCAACCTCAACCCTGGGTCCTGGTCTCGGCTGTGTTCCGAGTGAAGAAATGGGAAGTGTGCACAGAGCCCCGGCCACCGGGGGAGGGCACACACCATGGAGACGCAGGCCTGGGCACCTGCAGGCATCTTGTCAGAAAAGAACCAAGGCAGCCTGTCACCTCACGGAGAACGAACAGGAGTCCTTGCCCATGATAACACCTACACGTTTAAGAGAAAAATGACCATTTCAGAAGCTTTCTATCTTTTGGCAGCTCTCATGCTTAAAGACTTTTCTGATGAGAAAATGATTTTTTTAATTATAAAATGAAACGTCAACATGTGGACGTTCCGGGTAAATCAGTGAACCAGTATTTTCCCAATGACTGATGCAGATGCTCCAACATCCCACCTGAGCCAGAGACCCCAAGCACAGGACTATTTCCATGGAATGGAGCACGGGAGGCGTTCACTGACCGGTCAGATGCCACATCGCAGCTCACCTGGAGGCAATGCCACCAAATATGAGCCCCAGGTATCCGGAGGCTGCTGGGGCATGTTTCTGTCCCCACGTCTGTGGGGGTCGGGCAGACGGGGCAGCTGGGCCGCTCCATCCAGGACACCAGACATCCAGATTTGCAACAATGCAAAACAATTCTACTCTCCTAAAACTCTGTTTTGGAAAATTATTCTTTTTCACACAAATGTGTTACCACATGGTAGGTTTCTTATTGATGATTCTAAATGAACGCAGTTAGCAAATCTTTAAAACATCATTTTAGTTCCTAACATAGGTAAATGTAGAGGAACCGCATACACACAGCTCTCGGGTGCTGAGCCTGGAGCAGGAAAGCACTGAGACGCAGCTGGAGAACCACGCTCCCACGTGTAGTCCTGGTGTGGGAGCAGGAACCCGTGGGGGTGCACGGACGCCGGCCGGCCGGGCGCTACAAGAGAAGCTTGCACCAGGTGCAGCGAGAGGTGTCCGCTCGGCCTCACGGGGGATGTTAAGGGGTTATCTGGGGTAACTCAGACTACGTGTTTTCTGCTTTTACCCACCGACCCTGGAAACAATCCTGAGGCCACGTGACTCCTCACATACATGCAGTGAGAGACGCCCCAGTCGCTGCCCCAGGGGGGCCCCCTGCTTCCCTGGTGTGCACTTACTCACATGCACCAGGCTCTTCCTTTCTGTCCTCCCGCCACCCTCTCAGCTCAGGCCCTGCGCTCTCAGTGATGCTCCCAGTGACGGCTCCTCCTGGGCCCTGCTCCCATCTTCTACCCACACCCACCTCCCCCGTCCCCAGTGCAGCACCCCGGCAGCCTCACGTTCAAGACCACGATCCGTGGCATCCTGTGGGAAGCCACCTTCTACCCTAAACCCCACTGAACAGGAGCAACTCTGTGCCCCACGTGCCTGGCCGGTATCTGATCGGGACAAGTGCTCAACAAACCCAAGGAATGAAGGAAGGCGTGCCTGGCTGGCTCAGTCTGGCACACAACTCTTAATCTCAGGGTCGTGAGTTCGAGCCCCATGCTGGGCATGGAGCCTACTTAAAAAAAGAAAGGGAATGAAGGAACAGAGAACAGGCCAAGGCTCAGTCTAAACCAGCCTTTATTTTTGTTTTCTTCAGTCCATTTCCGGTGGCTAATCTCACAGTCATGGCCTTTTCTCATCCTTGGAAAGGAAGCTGCCAGCCTCGGCACAAACGTGGGGACCATGATCAGGCCCGGGGGCAGGCGAGCAGCCTGCTGTGCCCCCCCCAGGCTGGCTGTGGTGCAGACACAGCAGGCAGGCGTCAGCAAGCAGGCGATGAAGGCGGTGGAGGAGATAGTCTCCACCGTGAGCGGCACCGGCAGGGAGACACCAGCCGGCTGGCCCCAGCTAACAAGGCTTCCAAGCCGTGTGCATGCAGTGAGTGAGGGTGCCTGTGAGCTCATTTCGGAGAACCGGAGGCCACGGAAGAAGCTATGCCACTCACTCACTGATTTAACCACCCGACCACTGTTTCTTCTGGAAGGTGGTGTCACGTACTTGAGCGCTTCTGGGGCCACTGCGGACTGCCATGGGCGTGACATCGGCAGGGCCCTACCAGGCCTTTCTCTTCCACTAGAGAGGGCACGCAGCCTGTCAGTGGCGGCTGGGATTTAAACCCACGCACTCTGGCTTCAGAGCCTATGATCTCAGCTACTAAACCATGTTGCTGCTCAGTAAGACATTCTGAGGCTTTCCTTTCTCTTGGAAATCAGAAAAAGAGTAGAGATTAGGATGCAGAGGCTGTTCTTTCAGCGGCAGGCCTGGGTGTGCGGAGATGGCTGGAGGGCAGCTGGGGACGTGCAGGAAGGGGAGCCGCCCCAGGTCCTGGAGGAAAACTGTCCTAGGTCTGGGACTCGATCATTGGAAGCGGGGTTCTCCTCACCCCTGCCCAGTGAAAGAGAAGGGGTTGTAAGCAGAGGGAGGGGGGGCTGGAAAGTCACGTAAGGACAGCAGGATGCTCGGAATCTCACCGAGCTGACCAGGTTTTGAGAAACAGGACAGAAAGGCAAGGAAGAACAGAGAAGGGGGAGGTCCAAGGGTAGCAGCCAGGACTCAACGAGTCCAAAGGCAGATTTGGAAAGGATTTCTCCTGAGCCAGGTATGACAATGCCACTCAGTGCTGGGCTTGGGGACCAAACAGGTAGCAGGTAACCTGCCTGGCACAGCACTGGACACGCAGCAAGTGCCTGATACTCAACCCTCCACACTGTGTGACTCACAGCTCTGGTCCTTCTGGTTTACAATGAGACCTTAAACTGTTCCTGCTGGAACCAAAAACCTTTCAGGGAAAGACCAACAGCAAGATGCTAGCAGGTACAGCTCGCAGGCACCTCCCAAGACTAGCCAGACACCTGCTCTTGCAGGTGTGTGCAGGGCTAGGTGAGAGGCCCCAGTCACCGTCTTCAGTGAAGCATACACGGACCAGCCTGCAGAACGCCCTCTTCCCGAGAACCTGGGGACTACAGTGCGTTTTAACTCCGGGTTGCTGGGGCTGAGAGCCCAGATACTCACTCTCCCCCCATCCTGGGGGTTGCAGGTCCCAGACGAAGGTGTGGGCAGGCTCGTCCCTGCTGAGGCCTCTCTATGTGGCCTGCAGACTGGCATCTTCCCATCTTCTCCCCATGTCCTCGTGTGGTCCTCCCTCGGTGCACGTCTGTGCCTGATTTCCTCATGTCCCCGTCACTGGGATCAGGGTCCACCCTACTGACCTCACTTTAACTTAATCACCTCTTTAAAGACCCTCTCTCCAAATAGAGTCACATCTTGAGGTCCTGGGGGTCAGGATGGCAACATGTACATTTTCAGAGGGCAACTCAGCCCGAGTGCTCCCTTTCAAAACCGTGTAATCTTGGGATGCCTAGGTGGCTCAGTCGTTGAGCATCTGCCTTTGGCTCAGGTCACGATCTCAGGGTCCTGGGATCGAGCCCCGCATCGGCTCCCTGCTCGGCGGGAAGCCTGCTTCTCCCCCTCCCACTCCCCCTGCTTGTGTTCCCTCTCTCGCTGTCTCGCTGTCAAATATATAAATAAATAAAATCTTTAAAAAAACACAAAATCAAAAAACCGTGTCATCTTATTTAAACAGCGGACCGCCGCCATGACCCCCCAGGCACCAGAATTCTCAGACCCCGTTCTTGCTGGAGAGCAGCCGTGCAGGGACAGGTGGGCCTCAGGTTAGGCAAGCGCCTTGCTCTTGCACGTGAGGACAGGCAACTGCCAGCCTTCCCTGGAGCAGGCTTAGGAATCCACGTCTCCCTGCTCCTTGTCTTCGGCACCTTCCCCTGGCTGCCCCCACACACATGCCTCACGATGCACCTCATGCATCCCCAAGACTAACCCCAAAGCATAAATAAATAAAACACGCATTAAAAACCTGTACATATGGGCACCTGGGTGGCACAGTTGGTTGAGCATCTGCCTTCGGCTCAGGTCATGATCCCAGCGTCCTGGGATTGAGTCCTGCATCGGGCTCCCTGCTCAGTGGGGAGTCAGCTTCTCCCTCTGCCCTTCTCCCCTCTCATGCTCTCAATCTGTCTCTCTCTCTTAAATAAATAAAATCATAAAAAACCCAATAAAATGAAAATAAAAACCTGTACACGAAGTCCTGTCGTATCCTCTCTCTGCTGATGGAGGAAGGCAGACAGTGAGCACCTGCTCCGTGCCCGGCACACCCCCCCTTAGCAGCCCCGATGAACAGGGCTCAGGAAGAAACGGGAGCACCCAGCGGCCAGAGGGAGAGTGGAGATGCAAACTTGACCGCTCTGCCTGCGTCATGGTGGACATGAGCCCTATGAGCGGAGTCCCACAGTTTTGAGAAAAACACCAGTAATCTCAAAGGGAAGAGCTGGGACCGTGCAGACAAGACAGGGGTAGGCTCAGACCACGGTGCACGCAGACGCCATTCCTCCTGAGCCCCTGTTGGTGGGTCAGACCCTGGCATGGACCCCGACGTGGAGGGCCCCACACTCGGGTGAATGCTCTGCCGGGCTCATCTCAAAATTCTTCCTACTTTTTGGACAGGGGACCCACACTTTAAACTTGCACGGAGCCCTGCAGTGACATGGCTGGTCCTGCATCCGAGGACAGGTGACGAGGACACGGACAGTCAGATGACTCCAGACGGAGGGAGCCCAGCGCTCCTTAGTGACATGCCCCACTGTCACCTCGGCTCTGTCAGCACAGAGCTGCACGCCATGCTCCAGGTTTATGCCTCATTCAAAAAGCTCATTTTGGTTCAGAAATCAAAGGGCAAATATTTTTAGACGAGCTGGTCAGCAAAGACAGTGTCTGTGATCCTGACATGATGAGCATGTTAGTTGTCTTCTGACATCAGGGGGAACCCACTCAGGTCAATCAATCTAACACAGTTACCAGACCCCTCAGTTCATAACCACCCACCTGGTGGCTCACACACATGAAATCATGGCATCACTAGGCAGCCGTACTGAGCGGTGACTGGCATACAACCAAGTGCACATACGTGAGTGTGTGAGCCGATGAGTCAGGACACCTGCACACACATGTAAGGCCGTGGTCTGATCCATGTGACAGACACACCCAGGCAGCCGCCTCCTGCCCCGTCTGTCTCCCCCAGCCCAGCCCCGTCCCAGGCAACCACGCAGCTGCCTTCTGTCACACAGGTCGGTTGCTGGCACTTTCTAGAATTCTTAGGAGCGGAATCTGCCACGATTGTTTACCCATCTCGTCTCCTCAGTCCTGACCCCAAGGCCTCAACACGTCATGTTTTCTTCCCATAGACTTCTCGAGGCCTCAGATTCCCTTTGCTGACCCTCCGATGCTGGTCCAGAACTTTCATTATAGACCACCACAGTCTGTGTTATAGAGATGACCGATGTCACAGACCACGTCTACAGAGGATACAGACGTCATAATCCAGACAACAGACGACACGGACCGTCCTGGCCTACAGATGACACAGATTGTCATGGTCTAGAGACGACAGACACGGGCTGTCACGGTTAACAGATGACAGAGGACACGGACCGTCCTGGCCTACAGATGACACAGATTGTCATGGTCTATAGACGACAGACACGGGCTGTCACAGTTGACAGATGACATGGGCCATCCTGGTCTACAGAAGACACAGGTGACGCAGACCACCATGGTCTAGAGACGACGGACGCAGGCTGTCAGGGTCGACAGACGACACGCTATCACAGTCTATAGATGACAGATGTCACCATCTAGGCTGCAGCAGACAACAGAGGTTACAGACTACCGTGACAACCTTTTAGGGGTCTCCCTGCTCCAACTCATCCATGTGACCCATGACCTTTGCTCAAGATACAGTTACAATCATGTCATCCCCCAGACTGAAAGCCAGACCTTTCTCTGGTCTGTGGGGCCTGAGCACTCACACCACCTCCAGCAACGCTCTAGGAGTTGTCTCCTCTCCACAGGCAGGCTGTGAAGCTCCCAAGGACAGGGCTCCCTCCTGCCTCACCTGGCATCATGCCCTGCTGGAGGGGCCCCAGGAAGGCGTCACGAATGAAGAGAGAGGAGCATATGTGACTTCGACAGAGCTTAGAAGACAATCATAGGCTTTAGAGCCTTCATTTTGTGATGATGAGAAAGTCACACAGCTGCTTTCTGAAGAGGGACAGAATGAAGGACAGTTGTGGAAGTTGGAAAAGGTGCAGGCTGGGGGTGACCTCGTGCCAGGCCAGTTTTTAACTGCTTCTTGTTCCATCTCTGCCACAAGCCCCACTACCTCTCACCTTCTTGTGATGTCGGCAGGTGCCTGGCGTCTGAAAATGCTGGGCTCTAGCCAAGGTGGCCCTGGATCCACAACATGGAATCCTCCCTGTAAAAGAGAGAGCACAGCCCTTAGAGACGTAACTGTGTGTGAGAAGAGCGAGGCTCAGAAGCCACACGGTGCCACCAGCGACAGGACCACAACAGTAGCAGGGCCCACCCGCCAACCTGCATTCTGGTGAGCAGACCCCGGAGGGACGGCGGCCCCAAGGATTTCAGAGAACTGGTCAGGATCTCAGAGTGAGTGGTGGAGGCTGGGGGATGCCTCAAGTGACTGCATGACCTGTGCTCAGTGTACCCATCATTCCTTAATGAACAGGAAAACTCTACAAAGAAACAGTGGTGCTGGGAGAAGAAAGAGTCGTCAGGAAGGGGGTGCTGGTGTCCCCTGCAGCAATCACGGGGCAAGGTCCAACCCCTTCTCCCCTGAACACGGGCTCCTGAAGGTCTCCAGGATGCCAGGAACGCTTGTACCAGATCTGTCCCAGCCAGCCCCCAGCTCTGGACACTCTGCCTCAGATCCATTTCTCTAGGTGGGAATGCTTGGTGAGCTGGGGCGGGTTCTCAGGGTAATTAAAGGACACCAAGCATACCTCACTGATCTGCCTAGCAATTGGTGTTTAAGACAACAGTCTATCAGGGGCGCCTGGGTGGCTCAGTCGTTAAGCGTCTGCCTTCGGCTCAGGTCATGGTCCCAGGGTCCTGGGATCGAGCCCCGCATCGGGCTCCCTGCTCAGCGGGAAGCCTGCTTCTCCCTCTCCCACTCCCCCTGCTTGTGTTCCCTCTCTCGGGGTCTCTCTCTGTCAAATAAATAAACAAAATCTTTAAAAAAAAAAAATCCGGATGAAATAAGAAAAGTTAATCAATTTGACTATATAAAAATGTAACAGGGGTGCCTGGGTGGCTCAGTCGGTTAAGCGTCTGCCTTCGGCTCAGGTCATGATCCCAGGGTCCTGGGATCGAGTCCCGCATCGGGCTCCCTGCTCGGCGGGAAGCCCGCTTCTCCCTCTCCCACTCCCCCTGCTTGTGTGCCCTCTCTCGCTCTCTGTCAAATAAATAAAATCTTATATATAAAAAAAAGACAACAGTCTATCATGAGCATAAATGAAACAATTCATGTAAGGGCTCAGTCCCCAGTGCACAGGCTGGAGCAAAGTGGCCAGAGATGGGCGGGCCAGGCAGCTGAAGACTCAGGATTGTCATGCAGGAGACCCAGGAGCGCTGAGCTCTGGTCCCTCTCTGGTCCCCAAGCAGGAGGGAACGGCAGCAGCGTGACTAGGCCCAGGCCCAACTTCCCGTGCCAGGCTGTGGCTTGCTTCTGCTGACCACACTCCCGCACCAGCACTCGGCACAGCATTGTGACGCAGGGCAGACCCCTGATGGGTGGTCACTGAATGAGCAGTGAGGCCCTTCGCGCTCTCCTGAAATGCCAAGGCACCAGTGCTCAAGGAAGGTCAGACCCTGGAGCCTTCAGCTGGGAGGGGACCCTGGGCCCCCACGCCCCACTGCACATACGGTGCCTGCTGACAGCACACGAGGACCCCGCTTCTTCAGTTCTGCCTCAGGCAGCTCGTCCAGCACGGACGGGCCAAGCAGCAGCTGCTGGGGACGGCCGTCATTTATTCTGTGTCCGAGCCCTGCACTTCGCAGTTTACAGTAGGGGGCACTGCTATCGGTCCACAAATGAAGACACTGGGGTCACCACAGCTAAGAAACTTATACACGCACCTAAGTTCAGTTCGCCTGATTCTGGAGCCGATGCCCTTCGTCTGTCTTTGCTACTCACAGGTAGCCTTCAGACCAGCAGCTTTTGTCACTGGCATCCCCTGGGGCTTGCTAGAAATGCAGAGGCCGCACTCCAGATCTCCTGAATCCGGATTTCCACGAGCTCCCGAGATGACTTGTGTGCACATTAACACTGGAAGGACACCACCCGAGACTTCCTCTCAACACTGCGAGACCACCTGAAATAAAGCGAAGTCTGGGAATGCAGACCAAAACCACGATGAGAAACAACTTCACACCTGTTAGGATGGCTGTTATTAAAAACAAAGAGGAAAAAGAAAATAAGTGTTGGGGTGCCTGGGTGGTGTAGTCGGTTAGGCGTCGACTCTCGGTTTTGGCTCGGGTCGTGATCTCAGGGTTGTGGGATCGAGCCCTGCGTCAGGCTCAGCGCTCAGCGGGGAGTCGGTTTCTCTCCCTCTAAAATAAATAAAAAATATTTTCTACAAAAAAGAAAAGAAGAATTGAGAGGGGTGTGGAGAAACTGGGATCTCTGGACACAGCTGGTGGGAATCCAAGATGATGCAGCTGCCATGGGAAACAGCATGGCAGTTCCTCAAAAAAACCAAGAGAATTACCATATGATCCAGCAAGTCCATCTCTGAGTATCTGCCCAAAAGAACTAAGAGCAGGGACCTGAACAGATATTGGTACACCTGTGTTCACAGCAGCATCACTCACAACGGCCAAAAGGTGGAAGCAAGCTAAGTGTCTCTCAGTGGAAAAGCACGATGCGGCCCATCCATGCAGTGGACTACCACTCAGCCTTAGGAAAGGTCATGACACCTACTATAGCAAATGGTTGGGCCTGGGGGACATTATGTTGAATGAGAAAAGCCAGTCACAACAGGACAAGCACTGTAAGATCCCACTCATACGAGGTCCCTAGGAGTCAGATCCATACAGAAAGACGGGGGTGGGGGCAGGGGCTTGGTACAGGATGGGGAGTTTGTGTAATGGGGACAGAGCTCCAGTTGCAGAAGATGGAAAAGTTCTGTGAACGGGTGGTGGTGTTTGCATTACAATGAGTGTGCTTAACGTCCCTGAGCTAATAAAAAAATGGTTAAGATGGTAAATTTTAAGCTATATACATTTTACTTTTTTGAAGATTTATTTATTTAGATGGGGGGTGGGGGGACAGTATACACAGGGAGGGGCAGGGACAGAGAATCCCAGGCAGACTGGGCACTGAGCACAGACCCCAACACGGGGCTCAGTCTCACGACCCTGAGATCATGACCCAAGCCGAAACCAAGAGTCTGACACTTAACTGACTGTACCACCCAGGTGCCCCTAGGCTATGTATATTTTAGCACGATTTAAAAAAAAAATGCTTTAAAACAGAAAAAAACCTGAGGAGGATAATGGGAGATGCTTTAGGCTTACAGGAGTACACCCTGCTTTTCATTCTTGGTACTTAGCCTTGAAATTTCAAGCTTTACTCCCTGTTTTCCACACACCTTTGAAACACTTGAATGGAACAAAGAGAAAATCAGAATAATGGGACCTCTGGCTTATCATTCTCTCTGTGACCTAAGAGGCATTAACACCACAACCTACATAACCAAAAGCTGAGAGTAGGAAAATCAATATATTTATTTACCCAAGAGGCCCTATGAGGAGTTGATTTTATACATGTGGGTAGGTCCTGGGCTGAAGGTGTTGGTGTGGGATCTAGGCCCAGCCCTCTTATAGGGGACTTGTTCCTTCAAAGTTCTCCATTAAATAAGGGAGCCTTTGCCCACGAGCACGTGGTCATTTATGCCTACTTGACTAAACAGAGTACAGTTTAAATAATCATAATAACAAAAACAAAGGAATACCCATTTGACTACACGGGGAGGACAGGGAGGAAGGGATGTTGTTGGGATAGAATAGGACCCCATCTTTCTATGCAGTGGTAATCAAAAGATGCTATCCAAAACTGAAAAAAAGAATAAAAGACATTTTTTTAAAAAAAGAATATGAACAGGTTATTTAGAAATATGGAGGAAAATAAGAGATTTGAATAGTGGCCGCCTTTGGGGTACCTGGGTGGTGCAGTCAGTTCAGCGCCTGACTCCTTGTTTCAGCTCAGGTGGTTATCTAAGGGTTGTGGGATCGAGCCCCACTTCAGGCTCCATGCTCAGTGTGGAGTCTGCTTGAGATTCTTTCTCCCTCTCCCTCCACCCCTCCCACTAGTGCTGTCTCTGTAAAATAAAATAAATAGGGGCACCTGGGTGCCTCAGTTGTTAAGCGTCTGCCTTCAGCTCAGGTCATGATCCCAGGGTCCTGGGATCGAGCCCCACATCGGGCTCCCTGCTTGGCAGGAAGCCTGCTTCTCCCTCTCCCACTCCCCCTGCTTGTGTTCCATCTCTTGCTGTGTCTCTCTCTGTCAAATAAACAAAATCTTAAAAAAATAATAAATAAATAAAATCATGCATATACAATATTATCCTAATCTATTCAGGCTGCTATAACAAAAAATACCCCAGACTGAGGGACTTACAAACCTCCACTGATTTCCCACAGTCCCGGGGGCTGCAAGTCCAAGACCAAGGTCCTGGCGGATTCTGCGTCTGGGGAGGACCCACTTCCCGGTTCAGACGGCGGCAGAAGGGGCGAGGGCGCGCGCTCTGGGGCCTCTGCTGTAAGGGCTCTAATCTCATCCTGAGGCTCCCCGCTCCTGACCTCACGGCCTCCCACCGGCACCCCTCCTGACACCATCACAGTGGGAGCCGGGTTCACCATATGAACTTGGAGAACTTCGTAAAGATCTGTGCTGTCCTTTGCACCCCTACCACGGCAGAACGTAAATTACTGAGACTCACAGGTGACCTGTCTTCAGAGAATACGCCGTGACTGTTGCCCAGAGCAACCTATCATTAACCTTTCAAAATAAGTTCTACCGGCTTTGCATGAAACAAACCTGACTGCAAGAACAATTTAAAACAATAACCACCTGCAGTGCAAGTGTAAACAACAGCGAGATACTATTTTCACCATCAGACTGAAGAGCTGTGTGCTGGAGAAGGTGCACATACCTCCACACTTTGGGGGCCAGCCTTTAACACCTGACTCAACTTCCTTCTAGGAACTTGCCAACAGCTATCAAAATTACCTGACACCTTCTACTTGGCCCGGTGATTCCTATTCCTGAAATTTCTCCTAAGGAATACTAACACTTACACAAGATGCGCTACATAAAAAGCAGCTCATACCATATAAAAAAAATTGGTAACAGCCTAATTGTGCACCAACAGGAGGCGAGCTGGGAAGACTAAGGCACATGTGGACAATAGAACCAGATGATCTCCAAGAAGCACCCAAATGGGAAAAGCTGGGTGGGAAAGAAGGTCTTTGCATGTATCATGCATAAACCTCGATGGAAAGATAAAGACTTCTGGGAAGAGAACTGGGTGATGGCTGGGGTGGCAGGATTCATTCTGCATTCTCACAACTTGACTGAAATCTCAGCCATTTTAGAGGTAAAAATAAACGTTTATAAAGGGAAGGGGAAATTGGGAGTTACTGTTGAATGGCTCTGAGTTTCAGTTTAAGATAAAAGGTTCTGTGGCTACATGGTGGTGATGGCTGTCAAACGGGAACGGACTTCAGGCCTCAGAACCACACACTTGAAAACAGTTAAAATGGTAAGTTTTACACTACGAATATTTACAGTAAAAAACTCGATGTGCATGTAGATATGGTAATCCATCTTAACAGTGAAAAAAAGATCCCTGCTTATCTGGAGCTTATAAAAAAAAGGGGGAGTGAGTGGGGCAAGTGCCCAGCTCTTGATTTCTGCTCAGGTCATGATCTCAGGGTGGTGGGGTCAATCCCCCAGTTGGCCTCCACACTCGGAGGGAGTCCGCTGGAGACTCTCTCTGCCTCTTCCCCCTTCCCCGAAAAAGTAAATAAATCTTTAAAGGGCGGGGTGGGGGTGGGGTGGGGGCTGAGGTTTGAAAGAGCCTATCTCTGAAGCCATTCATCCCTTAGTGCCCCCCAACCCAGCGCAGGTGGGGGCAGGGATGCGGACCCCATAGTGATGCCAGACCACTGGGTCGCAGGGACTCCAAGTGGTGAGGTTTGAGGAGAACTCTATGAACCGCGCAGCACAGGGGACCCGACCATCAGGTGTGGGGAAGACCTATGCGCACCGCGGGGCACGGGGGACAGGGGACCCCAGCAGTCAGGCGTGGGGAGGACCTACAGGAACCGCGGGGGACGGGGGACCCAACGGTCAGGCGTGGGGAGACCTGTGCGCACCTCGGGGCAGGGGGACCCCGAAGGTCAGGCGTGGGGAGACCTGTGCGCACCTCGGGGCAGGGGGACCCCGAAGGTCAGGCGTGGGGAGACCTGTGCGCACCTCGGGGCAGGGGGACCCCGAAGGTCAGGCGTGGGGAGACCTGTGCGCACCTCGGGGCAGGGGGACCCCGAAGGTCAGGCGTGGGGAGACCTGTGCGCACCTCGGGGGACGGGGGACCCCGAAGGTCAGGCGTGGGGAGACCTGTGCGCACCTCGGGGCAGGGGGACCCCGAAGGTCAGGCGTGGGGAGACCTGTGCGCACCTCGGGGCAGGGGGACCCCGAAGGTCAGGCGTGGGGAGACCTGTGCGCACCTCGGGGCACGGGGGACCCCGAAGGGCAGGCGTGGGGAGACGTATGCGCGCCGCGGGGCAGGGGGACCCCGAAGGGCAGGCGTGGGGAGACCTGTGCGCGCCTCGGGGCACGGGGGACCCCGAAGGGCAGGCGTGGGGAGACCTGTGCGCGCCTCGGGGCACGGGGGACCCCGAAGGGCAGGCGTGGGGAGACCTGTGCGCGCCTCGGGGCACGGGGGACCCCGAAGGGCAGGCGTGGGGAGACCTGTGCGCGCCTCGGGGCACGGGGGACCCCGAAGGGCAGGCGTGGGGAGACCTGTGCGCGCCTCGGGGCACGGGGGACCCCGAAGGTCAGGCGTGGGGAGACCTGTGCGCGCCTCGGGGCACGGGGGACCCCGAAGGTCAGGCGTGGGGAGACCTGTGCGCACCTCGGGGCAGGGGGACCCCGAAGGGCAGGCGTGGGGAGACCTGTGCGCACCTCGGGGCAGGGGGACCCCGAAGGGCAGGCGTGGGGAGACCTGTGCGCACCTCGGGGCACGGGGGACCCCGAAGGGCAGGCGTGGGGAGACGTATGCGCGCCGCGGGGCAGGGGGACCCCGAAGGGCAGGCGTGGGGAGACGTATGCGCGCCGCGGGGCAGGGGGACCCCGAAGGTCAGGCGTGGGGAGACCTGTGCGCGCCGCGGGGCAGGGGGACCCCGAAGGGCAGGCGTGGGGAGACCTGTGCGCACCTCGGGGCACGGGGACCCCGAAGGGCAGGCGTGGGGAGACGTATGCGCGCCGCGGGGCAGGGGGACCCCGAAGGTCAGGCGTGGGGAGACCTGTGCGCACCTCGGGGCAGGGGGACCCCGAAGGTCAGGCGTGGGGAGACCTGTGCGCACCTCGGGGCAGGGGGACCCCGAAGGTCAGGCGTGGGGAGACCTGTGCGCACCTCGGGGCACGGGGGACCCCGAAGGGCAGGCGTGGGGAGACGTATGCGCGCCGCGGGGCAGGGGGACCCCGAAGGTCAGGCGTGGGGAGACCTGTGCGCACCTCGGGGCAGGGGGACCCCGAAGGTCAGGCGTGGGGAGACCTGTGCGCACCTCGGGGCAGGGGGACCCCGAAGGTCAGGCGTGGGGAGACCTGTGCGCACCTCGGGGCACGGGGGACCCCGAAGGGCAGGCGCGGGGAGACGTATGCGCGCCGCGGGGCAGGGGGACCCCGAAGGTCAGGCGTGGGGAGACCTGTGCGCACCTCGGGGCAGGGGGACCCCGAAGGTCAGGCGTGGGGAGACCTGTGCGCACCTCGGGGCAGGGGGACCCCGAAGGTCAGGCGTGGGGAGACCTGTGCGCACCTCGGGGCACGGGGGACCCCGAAGGGCAGGCGTGGGGAGACGTATGCGCGCCGCGGGGCAGGGGGACCCCGAAGGTCAGGCGTGGGGAGACCTGTGCGCACCTCGGGGCAGGGGGACCCCGAAGGGCAGGCGTGGGGAGACCTGTGCGCGCCTCGGGGCAGGGGGACCCCGAAGGGCAGGCGTGGGGAGACCTGTGCGCACCTCGGGGCACGGGGGACCCCGAAGGGCAGGCGTGGGGAGACGTATGCGCGCCGCGGGGCCGAAGACTCCGGGGCTTGCCCTTCAGCTCCGGCGGCACCCCTGACGCGTTCATCCCGTCTGTCGTCCGGAGCTGCTGAGGGCGTCTGGGCTCCGGGACCCCCTGAGCCCAAGCCGGCGGGACAGCCCCTCGGGGTGCGGTCCCCTACCGCGTCCGCCCGCGGGAACCTTCCCCTCAGCCGCAATTCAGGCTCGCTCCGGGGAAGGCCGACGCCAATCGCCGGCGCAGACCCCTGCGCCTGCGCGGTCCCAGCACCGACGCGGACCCCGGCGCCTGCGTGGACTCGGGCTGGGCATATCTCCGCGCTTGCGCAGAGCCGGCGCGTGGTCGCCCGCCAACGGGGGCGGGCCCAGAGTCGGCAGTCCATCGTTCGATCCCCTTCATTGGCTGAGAAATGAAGCCGTGGCCGGGTCCACCGCTGATTGGGCGGCGTGCGAAACAGAGGGGCCCTGCGAGCCAATCGCAGGGCAGGTGAGGTGCGAGCCGGGCCCTGGGGGCCGCTGAGGGCTGAATTCGCCGTTTCTGGGCCATGGCTTCCGAGAAGCCGCTGGTGGCGGTGACCTGCACCGCGCCGGTCAACATCGCGGTCATCAAGTACTGTGAGTGCGCGGCCGGGGGCGCCGAACACGGCCCACGCGGGACGTCTACCCCTGCGGGGGCGGGACGGGGTTGGCGACACTGTCCACGCGGACGGCCAGCCCCGCGGGGGCGGGGCGGGGGGTGACAGTGTCCACGCGGACGGCCAGCCCCGCGGGGGCGGGACGGGGTTGGCGACAGTGTCCACGCGGACGGCCAGCCCCGCGGGGGCGGGACGGGGTTGGCGACAGTGTCCACGCGGACGGCCAGCCCCGCGGGGGCGGGACGGGGTTGGCGACAGTGTCCACGCGGACGGCCAGCCCCGCGGGGGCGGGACGGGGTTGGCGACAGTGTCCACGCGGACGGCCAGCCCCGCGGGGGCGGGACGGGGTTGGCGACAGTGTCCACGCGGACGGCCAGCCCCGCGGGGGCGGGACGGGGTTGGCGACAGTGTCCACGCGGACGGCCAGCCCCGCGGGGGCGGGACGGGGTTGGCGACAGTGTCCACGCGGACGGCCAGCCCCGCGGGGGCGGGACGGGGTTGGCGACAGTGTCCACGCGGACGGCCAGCCCCGCGGGGGACGGTGACAGTGTCCAGCACGGGGGCTGGGCTCCCTCAGTCTCCCGCAGCTGGCCAGCTGGGGCCCGCTCTCCATGTCTATCGTGCTCTCGTCTGAAGATCGCTGTCAGTGGAATCACAGCCTATGTAGCTCTGGGGAGTGGCTCTTGTCACGGTGGTTCTGGAGACGGGCAGGCGACTGCTCACTCATTACTGGCCTGTTCCGGGCTGAGTCCTGCTCCCTGGTGGGGACGTCCCACACGTTCCTTAGCAGCTGGTTGTTTCCAGGTTGAGCTTTATTGTGAATCAAGCTGCCGCAAAACTGTACCGGGCTTGTGTGAATACAAGTTGTCATTCTTTGGGGACCAATGTCCAGGAATGCCTCTGCTGGGTCATAGGGTAGTTGTACTTTAGTCTTTTGTTTTTATTTCTTAAATTTTAAAGATTTTATTTATTTGAGAGAGAGTGCACGTGCACAAGTGGGGGGGAGGAGCAGAGGAAGAGGAAGAAGCAGGCTCCCCGCGGAGCAGGGAGCCCCACTCGGCCTGGATCCCAGGACCCTGGGATCGTGCATGACCTGAGCCGAAGGCAGGCGCTTCACCGACTGAGCCACCCAGATGCCCCTGCTTCTCCCTCTCCCTCTGCCATTTCCCCACTTGTGCTCTGACTCTCTCTGTCAAATAAATAAATAAAATCTTTAAAAAAATAAAATACAGAAAAACTTCCCACCCCACTTTGCGTTCCCACCAACAATGTCCGTGTGATCCAGCTCTTCAGCCTGTGGTGGTGTTGTCAATAGTTTTTATTTGAGCTATTCTCATCAGTGGGGTGACATCTGGTTGTGGGTTTCAGGCCAGGGATACTGAACACCTGCTCTCCTGCTTACCTGTAACCTGCATGTCCTCATGTCCGTGTTCTGCTTGGACCGTGCACTTTCTTACCGTGGAGTTTTGAGAGTTTGCGATATCTTCTAGATACTAATCCTTTGTTGGACATGGGGTTTGCCAATATTTTCTCCTACTCCGTAGCTTGTCTTCTCATCCTCCTAACAGGGTCTTTCAAAGAGCTGAAGTTGTTAAAGTTTTGGTGAACTCCAATGTGTCAGTTTTTCCATGAGTGGGTCATGCTTTTGGTGTCAAGTCAGACACATTTGCCTGGTCCTACAGCCTAAAGGTTTTCTCCTGTGTGTTTTGCTAAAGGTTTTGTAGTTTTACATTTTAAATTTAAGTCCCCACCTTGAATTGTTTCTCTGGGTAAGGCACGGGATCGCCTGGCCTCTGGATGTCCCGTTATTGGGGCAGCATTTGCTGAGAAGGCCGTTCCTCTCATTTGCATTGCTTCTGCACTCTTGTCACAGATGAGCTGGGCATGTTTGTGCCGGTCTGTGTCTGTGCCATCATGGGTCACCTGCCAGGCGGTAGTCATCACCACCCCCTTAACTGTCCACCCTCCCAGCACCGCACATGAAAGTGCAGTGTGCTGTGCCTGCTTCACTGAGAGGCCCGCCACGTCCCCCTCCGCGAAGGTTTCCTTTGTCGCTGGTGTGCGAGCAGTGGGGGCGGTCCCGCGTGTCTCCAGGGCGTGAGAGCAGAGAGCTTGGAGGCGTTTCCGTAACCAGGGCTCCTCCTGTGTGGGAGGCAAAAACCTTACCATCAGAGTGCTCAGGGTCTGGAAGGCACTCCAAGGTAATTCGTTGAACGGATGAAACAAGATTAAACAGAAGCATTGAAGCAGAGGGATGGGCTGGCCTCCGGCTCCGCTCTGGGAGTGGGAGCCCAGTGAAGTGGGGAGCAATCCAGGAGGACTTCCTGAAGGTGAGGGCACAGCAGGAAGAGGACGTATCCAGTGCAGAGAGCAGGCTCCTGGCAGATGGGGGAGCAATGGGATGGGAGTGAGGGTAACTGGGGAGCACTGGTGGGGAGGAGTGAGGGCAACAGCGTGCTGGTTTGCAGGGCTGGGAAATGGATTGGCCTTGCCTTGGGTTGTTTGTTCCAGGGGGAAAGCGAGATGAGGACCTGATCCTACCCATCAACTCCTCTCTGAGTGTCACCTTGCACCAGGACCAGGTTAGTATGGGTCGGCACTAAACACCAAAGCAAATATCTACCAAACTTGTTTTGTCGAACCTTTGTGTGACAATTGGATTGGTAGTAATAACTCCCTAGCCAGTTACACACACACACACACACACACACACACCCCATTAGGACTGTTCTTCACATGCACTCCCATGCTCCCTGGTCTCCCCTGGAGGTCCGCATCCCTTCCTCCGGGAGCCCTGCCCAGTGGCTCTGCTGTGGGCCATGAAAGTGTGGGCTGCACCCCGCGTGCTGGAGGCCAGGCCTGGCACCGAGCCTGCTGTGTGGCTTGGGGCCTTCCTCACTGCCCGGCCTGGCCTGCTGGGCCTCAACAGCCCTGTTCTCCAGTAAGGCCGTCCCTGCCCCTGAGTGCGTGACGGTGAAGGGCCGTCATAGGAAGGCCCTCCCCAGTGGAGGGGGCTGTTTAGCCAGCACCCACCCCTGAGGTGGCCTGTGTTTTCTTTCTCAGTTGAAGACCACCACCACAGCTGCCATCAGCAAGGACTTCACCGAGGACCGGATTTGGCTGAATGGCCGGGAGGAGGACGTGGGGCAGCCCCGCCTCCAGGCCTGCCTAAGGGAGAGT